GGCTCCCGGTATATCACCAGACCCTCCTGTTGTTGAATACTTTTTGCGAAAGCACCAAGGCAAGGCCTGAAGATGGAATGACCGTTAATTAAGCAAGCGAGTTTGAATTTTGATAAATTGTTACAAGTGGGATTTCTATCCAATCTCGTAGACTGAATGTATTCCCTATACACTTTGACTCTGAAAGTCCCTCCTAATGATATCCAAATAGCATTGAACAAATCACATATATAGAGTAAGCCCTAAAGTAACGCTTATCTCAACCCCCTCATGTCCCAAATGAGGGGAAGTATACCACCTCGGCTGATTTACATCTCTTCCAACACTCACATCAATCCATCTATAACCCCTCTATAACCATGACCATCGACTCAGATCCAAAGGGAGAATGCCAACAGGTCCCTCCGTGGAACAACATCGTCATCCAAAAGCGCACCACGCAGCTAAACCTCATCCCCGAAACCTGGCGTCTCCCAGCCGAGGTCCTAGCAAACCCACCAGCATCAAGTATAGAAATCATCCGAGCTAGCGGTATACTCTCCACCAAGGAACTAGCATGGACCGAAACAACAGACATCTGCGATCTAGTCTCACTCATCAAAACCAGAAGTATAACGAGCGAACAACTCACAACAGCTTTCTGCAAGCGGGCTGCAATTTCTCAGCAGGTGAATAAATGTCTGACGGAGATTTTCTTTGAGAGGGCGCTTCAGAGAGCGAGGGATCTTGATGAGATTCTGAGGCGGACTGGTGAGGTTGTTGGGCCTTTGCATGGTGTTCCTGTTTCTGTTAAGGATCGGTTTGACGTTGAGGGTGTTGATACGACTGTTGGTATGTTCTCTCTATTATTGTTTCTGGTTATTCGGACTTCGTTATGTTTTACGCGCTAATTTGAGGATAGGATGGGTTGGTCTTACGAACAAGCCAGCTCAATCTAATAGTTCAGTAGTGCAACTGCTTGAATCTATGGGTGCGGTGCTATATGTCAAGACTAATGTGCCGCAGTCTCTCATGGTGAGCTTTATTTTATCACGTCTTTCGTGCTCCAGATATCAATTTCCATTCCTTAACCCCTATTTAGATGTCCGACTCATACAACCACGTCTTCGGCCAATCCGTCAACGCATTCAACCATGCCCTAATTTCCGGAGGAAGTTCCGGCGGCGAAGGCGCCCTCGTCGGCAGTAGAGGCAGCATCTTAGGAGTCGGCACAGACATCGGTGGCTCAATCCGAGTACCATCCGGCCTGCAGGGTCTATACTCCATCTGCCCGACGACGGGTCGAGTGCCGTGGGATTGTTCCTTGTAAGTCACCAAACCACCAGTAGGTAATCACTTCTCATGCCTTTCTATAGCTTACACCAACACTATCTCATCCCACCTGTAGCCGGGCCGATGGCCACATCCCTCGCTACAACGGAGTATTTCATGGAAAGCCTCCTCAAGTCTGATCCGTGGAATATCGACCCAGGTGCCATTCCCATTCCGTGGAGAAAGGAACTAGCATCTCCTCCGACAAATCGTAAACTGAGACTCGGTGTTGTATTCGATGATGGCGTTGTTAAGCCGCAGCCGCCTGTGGCGAGGGCGATGCGTGAGACGGTGGATGCTTTAAGGGCTGCAGGTCATGAAGGTATACACATTAGTCTGCCGTATTCTAACTTATCTACTGAGATGCATGCTAATCCGAACCCAAGTAATCGAATGGGACACAACCCTCCACGTCCCCGCTACCAATCTATGGACGAAAGGCATTCTCGCCGACGGCGGGCAACACTGCCATAGTCTCTGTCAGATAGTAGACGAGCCTTTAATTGAAGGAATGGTGGTCGGAACGGAGAAAGATCTACTATCAATCCAAGAGCGAGAGAAGGTAAGGACCCGAACACATCAGCATACAATAATCTACTAAATGTATAAATTAACCAACCCCAAAACAGCTCGAAGAAACTAAATATGCCCTCCAAACAACGTTCCTCAAGCAATGGGTTAATTCGGGCATCGACGCCCTACTCATGCCCGTCCTCCCCTGGGTAGGCTACAAGCCTAAGACGTGGGTGCGTAGTAAACAGTGGCTGGGATATACGGCGATGTGGAATTTGTTGGATTATGCTGGTGTGACAGTTCCTGTTACTAGGGCTGATCGGGCTCTTGACTCTGCTGGGGGAGGGTTGAATGCTGAGTGGGAGGGACATTCTATTCGAAATGAGTCGGATGCGTTTAACTATTTGCAGTGTGAGTGTTTCCTGGTCATATTCGGGATATATACGTGGTTATATGCTAACCGTGGTTCTCTTGCAGATGATATTGACCTCGTGCATGGAATGCCTATCTGTGTACAGATTGTTGGTGGTCGCTTTGGAGAGGAGAAGGCTGTTGCAGTTGGAAAGGTGGTGGATGAGTTGATGAATCCTACCCCTTTCCATTCGTAGGATTCAAGATCGGAAGATCATATAGGAATGCATTCATGCTCGTGGAATCGTTCTCAATATGTATGAGGATGTACCTCCTCCGCCGTAGATCCCTTCTAAACGGCCATGATAAAATAAAAAAGATACAATGCAGCCAGGCCTTGGCCATGAAACCGGTAGATATCCCAAACATGCCCATCCCATTCCCAAGCCATTCCCAAGCCAACAATCAGCGGCTAACAAAGAACAGCAAAACTAGAATTCAAACTCCTTACGGAAGATGTTCACGTCCATACCGGCGACAACCTGATCAGCCAAGTCCCTCCGACCCATCTGGCTAAAGACCCGGCGCAGCGTATCATACAGATTAGTGCTCTGGTTCTGGCTGATATGCAGCATGCGCTCGAGACGCTCGTCGTCCAGACCATCAGGGTGAACGCCGTCACCGATGATCTCACGTGCACGCTCGCGACCCTCCTGCTCGACGACGCGGTGCATGGACAATGCGCCGAGGAGGTGCTGTGCTGCTTCTGGGTAGCAGCCGATATTGATGCAGGACACACCGAGGTTGTAGCGGGCGCGAACGAAGTTGGGGTTGATGTTGAGGGCCTGTTCGTAGGCTTCGATGGCTTCCTCGGAGCGGCCTGAGTTGGCAAGTGTGGCGCCGAGGCGGTTCCAGAGGAGATGCAGCTGTTCTTGTTGGTTTGTGCTGCCGGATTCGGTGGAAGCTAGGGCTGCGGAGAAGCAGTCCACGGCCTTTTCGTATTCCTCGGCGCAATAGAATAGCACGCCTAGACCGACTTGGACGTCTGGGTCCATCTGGGCACCTGAGGGGGAGAGCTGTGCTGCTTGGATGAAGAGCTCTGTTACCCGGTCGTGGAGGAGCTGGCGGTCTGTGAAGCCGAGGTCGGCGTCGCCGGATACCTCCTTCGGGTCGATGATTGTCGGGTATTTGTTTGACAGCCAGCGCTCGAGTGTGCGGTAAGCGGTTGAGTCGTAGCCCTCGTTTGTGTACGAGACAGCCAGACCCATCAAGGCATCCAGGTTCCCGGGGTCGACCTTCAAGGCTTGCTCCAGAGCACGAATAGCCGGCAACTCCTTTTCGTTCTGCGCCTGCGCAGACCCCAGCATCGTCCAAGCGTGTACATGCTGCGGGTCTTTCTGGACTGCAGCCTCGAATGCCAGCGCCGCAAGGGACAGGTTACCGCCCTCGCGCATGATCTTCATACCCTCCTCGAACGGATTGCCCACAGCTTGGTAGACATTATCTTCTTCAAACATGTAGTCACCAAGCTGGGGATCTCGGAAGCGAGAGTTAAGGCTGTCAAAGCCCTCCCAATCACCCAGGTCGCCAACATGCACGTTATCAGTAACCTGGAAGTCATTCTCCTCGGCAAGTTTCCTACTCGTCGCCGTCTCAGCCTGAACTCGCTTCCAAACAGACTCAAAGGCGTCATGGGTGGGCACTGACCTGTCCAAATCGTTCAGCTCCGCCTCCATAGCCGCATTAGCCTCGTCATCCGTCCGAGTCTCATTGCCAGCAGTCTCCATCTCGGCAAACTGCGCCTCCCAATTCTCATCATCGAGCTCAACCATCCGGCCCTTCCCCTTATCCTGCGTCTGACCCTCCATAGGCCCCTGCTGCATCCCCATCTGCCCACCCATCATAGGCTGCATCATCCCCATCCCACCCATCCCCATGTATCCACCACCCATGCCCATCGGCCGCTGGTAGCCAGACATCATAGGTGTGGTCGAGGTAGCCGGGCTGGACGTCTGCGGCATACCCATCCGGCTCTGCTGTTGGAAGCGGGAGAACTCAGCCGGTGAGAATCCGGACCCATTGTTCATCTGTCCCGGGAAGGCGGCTTCCATGCGAGCCTGCTCGCCGGAGTCGAACTCCGCTGCCCACCCGGGCGAACCTGTGCGGGCTGGCGCTGTCTGAAAGTTGTCCAGCTCGCGGCGCATGTGCTCCATCGCGAATGGCTGCGGTGGGGGGCCATTTAATTGTTGCCCTGGTTGCTGCATGAAGTCGTCCATCATCTATTGGCGTTTCCCGACGCCGAGGTCAGTTTCCGCTGCTGTGCTCGAGGCCCGGGGAGAGCTGGTTGTCGCTTGGAATACTTACCTGGTCTTGGCCGCCCATCATGTTTCGTGACCGCATGCCTTCTTGCATACCCGGCCCGCGGCCGACCAGTCGGTCGCGCTGTAGTGACTTATCATCTTGGACGTGCTTTGTGAATTGGGTGAGGGGGTTTCCCGCCGTGGAGCATTCCGCACCACCGAGAAACGACATGGTGAATATGCGGCAATGTAGGGTGAGGTTGGAGTTCGGTAATTAATACAAGGCAGTTTGAAGAGGAGAAGTAACGGAGAAAGGTGTAGTTCCCCGGATGTCCAACGTGGGGTTAAGACGATTTGACATTTCCAGCCGAGGTTCCCCGGTCGGTCACGTGAGAGATTAGAAATGCATGCAGTTGCCATTTTGGGTCTATTATACAAAGTTACAGAGCGCTATTTACGTTAAAGCCCACATGGCCAACGTCACCGTCTTCTCAAACATCCCTCTTAGGTTGACCTGCTCCAAGTTCACTCCTCCGAAACAACCTCACCAGCTGGCTGGGCAGCTGCAAGGCGTTTGTTCTTCTCTCTCTCCATCTCTTTCTCCTTCTTCTCCAACTTCTTCATCTGGTGACGCTCATGTGATTCCGGGTTCATAATCTTGCGTCTGGCATAGCTGACTCTCAACTTGCGACCATACGGCGCTCTGCGAGACAGCTTCTCCTTGCCGTCAGTGGCGCTCCACTGGTCAAGGAAATCAATATGGGCAAACCCACGCGGCAAGCCTGTGCGACGGTCAACGGGAATACGGATATCCTCCACGCCCTGGATATCCTCAAACAGAGCCTGCAGATCCAGGTCCGTCAATTCGTAGGGAATGTTGCCGATGTACAGACACTTGGAGGGGGCTTCTTCACTCTTGGCGCGGTAAACGGTATTTGCGTATTGCACAGTGACCTCGCGGCCCTCGATGACAGAAGCATCTGCTTCCATGATGGCCTTGCCGGCTTCCTCAGTGGTGCTGTAGGTTACATAACCGAAGCTGGAAGGTGAATTAGCAAATGGTGCCAGCCAACCACTGAAGGTCTAAACTCACCCTTTGCTCAATCCTCGGGAATCATGCACGATAACTGCGTTCTCCACCACGCCGAATTGTTCAAATTGCTGGCGCAGATCTTCGGCAGTCACGTCGAAGAACAGGTTTCCAACGTAGACCGTGGTCTTTGGCGACGGATCTTCCCTCACGTAATTACTTCTCGGCTGCCTAGCAGCTGGGGTGCCTCGCTCATCAAAGGTCCTCGGTTTAGTGTAGCGGATTGGCACACCCTGAGAGTTCCATCTCATCTGCGTGGCGTTGGCGAACCGCGCGGCGGCGAACACCGACGTTGAGGGGATACATTTTGATCGCGATACTGTGCCAGGGGTAATGGAGGAGATGGGGGTAGCTGGCGACAATTGAAGCCGAGAAACGGCCCGGCGGAAGCAATGCCTGCGAAGGGAGTGGATTAGCGTGAGTTGGTCTTCAAATATGTGGAACCAAGATGTGCCATGATAAAGGAGATCTGTTCCGAATCAGACTTACATTTTGAATGAACTCAAACCGTGATGATTCCGAGTGTCGTTGTGAACAGAAAGTTGGCTCGATAACCTTGGTTTCCGCTGATAAACTTCATCACGTGACTATATTTGCTTCGGCTTATCATACGATGCCAAGGACTTCAAGTACACTTGAAGTATCTGATATGATATCTCTAAAGAGTGGAGGATACATTGTAATAATCTCATGGTATGATACAATCAATAGCCCAGTGCACCAACAAAATCCGTCCAAATCCAAACAGCTTTTCCCAATTCGCTAAAACCCTCCCAGTGGTAATCACAACTGCAATCCGTATCCAAAAAATACAGTAAACAAGCAATGAAATAGCATCACTATTCAAAGACGTTAGGCCAAGGGATCAAGCCGATATGTGCATAAACAACAAAAGCATTCAAGCGTAGAGAAGAGATCGAATAATAAATCGTGATACAGATAGTTTATAGTCCGCCTTTACCTCGACCAGTATTACCTGGTGGAGGCGCCGCGCCATACCCAGACAGCGGCGCACCTCCGCTGTCAGAACTATTAGATGGGGGTGTAAACATTGTCGGTAGTCGTTGCATGCCTGGAGCAGTTCCGTTGCTTGACATTGACGGTACCCGGGTGGATGCGAGAGGACTTGATACCGAAGGTTGTGACATGCCTCCTGATTGAGGCGTTGGCTGTCGTTGGGCATCCATCATGGGCCAGAATTGGTTTGATGAGTCGAGGGTTGGGTTTTGGAGGTATGTGTCCCACGCGTCCTGATATAATGTTAGCATCAATAGTTTATACGAATGGAAGAAAAAAAGCCTACCCAGTCAAGATTAACTTGCATGTCCGGCATTTGACCGAACATGCTACTAAATGGCGAGAGTGGACCACCCGGCATTTCGGCCGAAGTGCCTACGCCTGCAGGCATTGGCGAGTCTCCCATTTTGAACATGGGATCAGAGAATGGAGGCGGGCCCGGGTTCATTGGACTCATTCCGCTGCTCAGCAAGCCAAGAGTCATCGCCGCATTCTGCTTCTCGTCTTGGGGCTCAAATGTAGCGGCACCAGCACTGTTCTCAAGGGTAGGGGCCGCCATGGCCAATTTGCTGAGCATCACACCAAGAACGCTGGATGCCTTGTATGCTTCCATGCTCTCATCTCGCATTTCATCCCAGATCTCTTTCGAGCGCTGAAGTGCCGCCATCATCTCTTCGCGCCGCTCCCGGCCCCAGGTGTACGTGTCTCCCGATGGCCGTCCTGACACCTGCAATTGCAAGCCTTGGTACAGATCGAGAGAGACGACTGTCGCTGAGAGTAGGAAGTCGGTCGAACTTAGAGAAGTGATTTTACTCTGACGAGTGGGAATACGTCCTTTGCGCAGTTCTGCGTGCAGGAGCGCTTGGACTTCCAAGAGGTCCATTGCTGAGTCGATACACGTTCTTCGGGAATACGTGAAACGAGGATTTTCTCTCGCACGAGCCAAATACGGTCGATGAAGCACACATTGTGCTTTGTCATATACGGCCTTGACCTGCACGGGTGGTTAGTATCAATTATGAGCGCATGCTTCAAGCAACTTACGGCAAATCGCGACATAATAAGGTTGCAAGGGTCCAGCTGGCATTCCTCCAAAGGTCTGATTTTCAGGTGGGGAGGAATCAGGTCTCTTGCCTGTCGAAGCTCCGCGTCAACTTCCATGACATTCTCATATGAGGTGTTCGAAATAGCAGAGCTCTGCTCAATGACACGGCCAAAGGCATACGATAAACGTGCCTTGGCAATCAGGTACGAGATTGGTGTGGGTTCGCTCAATGGACGGGATGGCGGGAGCTCCTTGCAGTCTTCGTCAAAGTCATCATCGTACAAATTGCTTGGTAGTTCGGTGTCACTATCACTGGAGCGGATCATGCTTGGCAGCCCAACCTGGAAAGAGAATAACAGGTCGGCTTGACGCACAAAGCTCCATACTCGCCGTCGTATCTCACCCTGGAAAGGTGTAATGTTCGGGAACATTTTGGAGTCGCGGTGGTATCCTGATCGCATTGCCAAGCGGGTAATGACGCCAGCCAGTACCCAAATTGAGACGTCAGTCTCCCGATGCTGCGAAAAGTCACCATGGAGATGGAATACAAGTGCTTCAATCAGATACGGATGGGGCTTTGTGTAGTCGGCCAAGGTTAGACACTGTGCCACGGAGTTTCGGAATCCTCCTGCCATGTCCATAGATTTACCTCGGAACTCAGGCGGTTCGTCGCCTTCGGTGTAGTAGGATAGCATTGCTAGTCTCATCATTGCAAAGAGCATGGCAATCCAGACAAGTTCTGTCTGAGAAGGATCTTCCCAATGTTTATTGTACTAGATGGGTCAGTCCTATTCTGCCACCCTTGATCACTGCAGAACTTACCTGTGCTTGAAATGTGGGCCCGTGAAGGATATCTAGAGAAGGTCAGGATGTCTTCAACATTACAAAGATATGGAAAACTCACGCGTTGCAGGGTCATAGCAGTTGAAATAGCGTGTCACAAGGAGATCAGTGGTGTATTTGGAGGGCAATGCAGACATGATCTCGCCACGGCTTATCGGCTTCATGACACCGAATAACAAAGTCGACCCAGGTACATCAGTGGGCGGTTGAGCTGCCTTGACCTTTTCAGATTGCTCTTCAAACTGCTTCTTGTGTGTTGCGAAGAAACTCCGCACCTCGGAGATCTATTCAGCCGTTAGAAATGCCCAATCTCGGCGAAATGTCCCAACTTACATCATTCAATATAGAAGCCCAGTGAGCGTTTCCCATGTAATAGGTCTTGTTATTGTCCATCTTCATGATACCGAACGATTTGGTCACCTGTTCAGTGTCGCTCTCTTCGGGGCCCATACCATCCTCGTCAATATCGAGGTCATGGGAGGGGCCGGTCGATCCAGCACTGCCTTCTCCCGAAATAGCAGCTAAAGCAGCCGCCGGACCAGCAGACTGGGATCCATTTGTCATCAACGAAAGCACCAACCCTTCTAACCGATCGATGCGGTTCTGCATATCATCCGGCGAGTTCGACGAGGGCTGCTGGGGCGAATTCTTCTTTCGGGAACTTGCTTGCGCGTAGTTACAGGAGGCGGCGTCGCCTCGTTTGACACAGTTTTCGCAGGGGTTGGAACGATTGCATTTCAGCCTGGAACTGTTAGAGACAAACGATCCCAGCCATGTCTGGAATTGCTTACTTTCTGTGTCGGCATGGACCGCATGACAAAGGTACCCGGTTTCGTTTCCGGACGACTCTGTAATCAGGAGAGTGGCCTGCACTTGACGAGTTTGTAGAAGGGGGTGTTGGTGTCATTTTGGTGGAAAAGGGCATATTCTCGTATGGGTTGGACATCAGATTGTAATAGGTTAGAAAGAAGCGGTGAGATGGTGGGAATTGGATCCCAGTCAAGCTATGCGCTGTGAGCCGTGCTATTTGGCGGGGTTCTCACACGCGCAGTCGCAGTCGCGCAACACACTGAATCAGCGCAGTCGTTCCGCGCAATCGTCGCAATAGGCTTTTCTCTGCTTCAAGCTCACAGTGAACAGAGCTGATGTGGTATTCAAGTCTCCTAGGTCCAGAATGACTGTGTTTTGAGCACTGATGTCTGAGAATTTGGCTATCGTCAGGCAACCGCACCAGACCCGAACCACAGAGCTTCAATATTGATTTCGAAAGTCGCAAGCAATCTCTGCGACCTTGGTGTGATTCAGGTCACTCAAATTCAGCTGAATGTCGATGCGATGTGATAGGGCGATGTGCGAAGCTTGTGGAAGGTGGAGGGGTGAACGACGTCCAGCCTGTGGGTGAGATAGACGACTAATCCTTTGGCACTAGCTCGCAAGACTGTGCAGTCTAGGTTCACAGGGAAATATCTCCAACAAAGGGGATCAGGAGGTGTGAAGGTTCGAGGAAGGTTGGGATGAAACTCGATGATTAATCCGTTATCTCCGTTTTTGGAGTTATCGTCTGGAGATGATCTCACGCATACAAAACACCTGCACTGCACACTACACACTGCACATATCACGCTCGGAGAACTTCTGATAATCTTAAGTACTCTCTGCAAAATTTATTCTTATATAATCTTCTGTCCAGCTCAGGCCTCTCTTAACTCCGATGCCATTCTCCTAGACATTAGCTGATTGGCTGTACCAAAAGATAAGTGAGTCATCTAGAGAGTTCAAAATAAAGCGTTGTGTTGATGTATAAGTTACTTGCGTGTTTGCAAGTTTGTATATTTGTAGTTCTGTTAGTAATAAGGGACCTGTGTTTACAACGCGTATTATAAGTATCTACTATAAAACAGCCCAACACAATATGGTTTGTAGACAATAGGCGCCAGTTCATACTCCTGTACTGCGCAAACAAACAGTGAACACAGGAGTACATAGGCCCATTCCTTTCCCCCTAGATTTTGCTTCGCTCCCCACCTCTCTTTTATGAACCATCCCATCAATTATTGGAGTATTTAGTCATGGGTGACATCCCTAAAGATCATGGACGTGGTGATTGGGGCCGTGGTCGAGGTGATCGCGGTCGGGGGGATCGTGGTCGTGGCTCCGATGGTGGTCGCGGTCGCGGTGCCTTACCCTTCCGCCCAGCTGGCAGAGGAGATGGGGATCGTGGGGGTTTCCGCGGGGACTTTCGAGGCCGCGGTGGTGACAAAGGTCGTGGTGACTTTCGTGGCCGTGGTGACTTCCGTGGTCGCGGCAGAGGAGATGGGGGTGGACGTGGACGCGGGGATTTTATTGGACACGGCCGTGGAGGACGCGGTGGAGTTATGAACTACGGCCCTCCCATTTTCAGGTCAGCGCTTCACTATATAAATTGTCGATATGATCTAACTATTCATCAGACAAGACGAGCCTATTCCACAGCCTAGCACCGTGGTTACTAAGACCGAGGATGATGTCGCCAAAGCCCTCACTATCAGCGGTGCAAAGGCTCCCAGACAAGCTAAATATCCCGAACGTCCTGGTTACGGCACTGTCGGCAGGCCGGTGACTTTATATGCCAACTACCTGCCCTTGACCCTGCCTAACAAGCAGCTGTTCCGCTATCATATTACGATCGCGGCCGACGCTGCGGGCCGAACTGCACCAGTGGGCAAAAAGGCCGGGCACATTGTGTCTCTGCTGTTGGAAGAGCACTTCGCCCAGCAAAAGGGCAGCATTGCGTCGGACTTTCGCTCTACGCTTGTGTCTTGTGTTAAGCTGGCGGAGGGTTCCTTCGATGTGAGATATAAGGAGAATCTGCTGGATGATTACCCCGAAGCTCCCCGTGTGCACAAGGTCACTGTGCAGTACACTGGTGTGGTCAACCCGGCTGACTTGCTGAACTACTTGACTTCCACCAATGCCGGTGCGATCTTGGACTCTAAGTCTGAGATCCTCAGTGCTTTGAACATGATCTTGGGACACCACCCTAAGGCCGACGACAGTGTCGTCTCTGTCGGAGCTAATAGACACTATAGTTATCGCGAAGGTATCAAGGAGTCATACAACCTCGGCGGCGGCCTGTCGGTTCTCCGTGGATTCTTCGTCAGTGTGCGTGCCGCCACGGCTCGCGTCCTCTTGAACGTGCAGGTCAAGTACCTCGCCTGCTACGATGAAGGACCCCTGGCCAATATTATCCAAAGCTACGGCGGCCGAAACACATATCTTCTGGAGAAGTTCCTCAAGAGCGTCCGCGTCCGTATCACGCACATCGCCCGCAAGAACAGCCGCGGTGAGTCCCGTCCTCGCATTAAGCCTATATATGGACTTGCCAACCGCGGTGACGGTGGTAAATCTCCCAACGCACCCAAGGTTGCTCGCCATGGTGCAGGTCCTGCTGAGGTGGAATTCTTCCTTGCCGAAGCTGGCCCTAAGCCTGGCCCGCCCAGCGCTGCGCCTAAGCCCAAAGGAAAGAAGGCACCCAAGGCCGGTCCTGCGGAGCCTGGACGCTGGATCACCGTTGAAACCTTCTTCAAAAAGGGTTAGTAAACCTTTAAACCTTCACTTATCAATTACCTTTCTCTTTTTTAATACTGACTTCATTCTTAGAGTACAACCTCTCTTTGAACCCAGGTTTGCCAGTGGTCAATGTCGGATCTCGCGATAAGCCTGTCTATCTCCCTGTTGAGGTCTGCGAGGTCGAGCCCGGTCAGCCAGCCAAGTCGAAGCTGTCCGGTGACCAGACTGCCCAGATGCTCCGCTTCGCCGTGATGGGTCGTAAGCCAGGCCAGAACGCGCACTCCATCGTTACTAAGGGTGTTGGCGCCCTAGGACTGGACCCTCTGAACTCCACCCTGGTCAGTACCCTCACTCTAGATATCTGATCAAAGTTATTAACCTAATTGCAGTCTGCCTTCGGTGTCAGCTCCTCCACGGAGCTCATCACTGTTCCTGGTCGCGTCCTCCCACCACCAAGCATCTTCTACAAGAACGGCAAGCAAACCAGGGAAATCCGAACTATGGCTGGCAGCTGGAACATGAAACAAATCCAGTTCTCCCAAGCCAAGCCAATGAAGTCCTGGGTCTACCTCCATGTCGACCACCAAAACGCCCGCCCGATCTTCAACGGCCCCGATGCGCTGGACTCGTCTCTCCAGGGCTTCCGCAAGACCCTCAGAGACATGGGCATGGCAGTCGACGGCCACAAAGGCGGCAAGCGCGTAGTCCTAACAGGACGCAACGATGCAGCCGATATCGAAAATGCCATCCTCGACCTGCAAAAGCAGTTCAACCCAATCTTCATCCTAGGCATATTCTACGCAAAGGACACAGGCATCTACAACTGCGTCAAGCAGGTCTGTGACGTCCGCTGCGGCATCCGCAACGTAAACGTATTGGCCGAAAAGCTTCGCGGCTCTAACGACCAGTACAACGCGAATGTGGGCCTGAAAATCAACCTCAAACTCGGCGGTGCAAACCAAAGCCTCCGCACCGCCGACCTCGGCATCATCTCCGAAGGAAAAACAATGCTAGTCGGCATAGATGTCACCCACCCATCCCCAGGCTCTGCCAGCACAGCTCCTAGCGTGGCGGGTATCGTCGCCTCCGTCGACTCAACCCTAGCGCAATGGCCCGCGGAAATCCGCGTCCAAGGCGCGCGCCAGGAAATGGTCGCCGATCTCGAAACCCTCCTTGTCTCCCGCCTCCAACATTGGGCTAAATGCAACAAAAAGGCCCTGCCCGAGAACATCATCGTCTACCGCGACGGCGTCTCAGAAGGCCAATACAACAAAGTCATCGAGGAGGAACTCCCCCTCCTCCAAGCCGCCTGCAAAAAGACATACCCAGCAACGCTGACAGCAAAGGGCCTCCCACGCCTTTCAATCGTCATCGTCGGCAAACGCCACAACACCCGCTTCTACCCAACAACCGACCAAGATTCCAACCGCGAAAATCCAATCCCGGGAACAGTCATCGACCGCGGCGTCTCCGAAGCCCGCGACTGGGACTTCTACCTGCAAGCCCATTCCGCACTGCAGGGAACTGCCCGTCCAGCGCACTATTTCACCGTCTGGGATGAGATCTTCTACCCTCGTCACCCGGGGAAGTCGGGGGAACCAGGTGCGGCGGATGTGTTGCAAGATTTGACGCATAAGATGTGTTATATGTTTGGGCGGGCGACGAAGGCTGTTAGTGTTTGTCCGCCGGCTTATTATGCTGATTTGGTCTGTACAAGAGCCAGGTGTTTCCTTTCTGATCTTTTTGATCCCTTGCCTGTTGATGCTTCGGGTAGGAGTATTAGTGGTGTGACGGATGGGACGGCGGATTTGTCTAGGATGGTTGATGTTGGTGTTCATCCTAATATTGCGGAGACTATGTTTTATATTTAGGTGGTATAGGGGTGTATGGTGGTGGTATGAGGGGAAGTGGGATGAGTATATTGTCTGATCGCTTTGGTGAATTGGATATATTCATTCTGGTTTTTGGTTTTTGGATTGTTAGCGAGATGGATCACCGGTGGAATGATGGACCAGTGACGTGATCTAATGTGACTTGAGAAGTTGGAACACTCGTTGGAATGGGACAGATTGACTTGCTGGAGAAGAGAGATATTGATGGAGGATCCAACGATACATACGTCACGAAGATGTATGTATCCGGGGGTATTTGGAGGATATTTCGGGTATCAAATTGAAGACAAATCTAGCTTAGCAGGTAGCATAGGTAGCATAAATTGAAGTTTGAAGATGGACTATTATTTCTCTTATAAAGTCTAGCGCTGAAGCACTTACGATTGTTTACCCTATGTCTAGGGGATTGATAATTCAACGCCCCTTTGGATAACGTACTTCACACGCGAGCCGGGTAAACAAATCATCATTTGCAAAGTTTCCTGTTCTAGTGAAAGTTCCACATAAAACATCTACATCGCTCATCTTGCTATATTCGGACGCTTTTTCCATTAGGCTTGACTTTAAATCGATTGGACCGGGTGGGAGGTGTGGAAGCCATAGAAAGAGATGCCTCAAAGCGTCACTAATGGGAAGGACTGAAGGAAACTAGGGCACTAAATAGTCGCAGGTATAGACTAAGTGGCTCTCAGGGATTCTTAAGGCTCCAAATAGGTACAAGAATAACGGCCGTCTCCATGTATATGGGTTTCCGCGTTGAAAACCAGTGCTGCGCTCCAGAAACCGTTGTCTTTAGAGTTCATGGCTAACTAACGAAGACCTGAAACGGTCACCCTAGCAGGTGATTATTTCACATCAGGCAATGACTTTTGCTTGAAACCATGGCCAAAGATGATGGAGGAATTTAATATCCAGCTTGTGCTAGACAGTGGTATTTATCACGAGGCTAGCCATGGTATAATGAAAGGACGCCTTAGTAGTGCTTGCGCTGGCGGAAATGCTTCAGCTGTCAAAATATGGCTGGAGATATTGGAACGACGAGGTGTCGGAACTCGTCTCCGGAAGACCTGTTGACGACGAACTTGACTATGAAGTGAAAAACCTTTTTAAATCTGTGGCGCATTTTTGCAACTTTGGACCCTTCAACATGCTACTCGAGCACATGAATGTTGAGCTCTGTCCAAGCAGTCTTACGCACCAACAGATGTTATGCAATTTTGTAAGATCAGGCGAGACCGAGGTGGTCAGGCTATTTCTTGACAGAGGATTCGATGTCAATGCGATGCACTGTGATGAGCAGGGAAACATGTCGTCACTATTAGGCAAAGCAGCAAGCTCCGCGGGCGCCGATGAAGAGGTAGAGCCTATGGTACGGTTACTGCTCGATTGTGGGCCTTTGGCCGATGCCATTGATCATACTCGGATTACGGCTTTAACCCATGCAACTGAGATGCAGACGCTAGGTGTCATAAAACATGCTGCTTGGTCGAGGTGCGAATCCCATTTTTGGATTAGGCGAGATGATCACACCTCTTGAGATGGCAGCTCGTGAGTTCCAGTCAGATTTGCTGAGGAATTTTTTGGATCTGATGATTACTCGGAAACTCAAGTTTGATAACATTCCGAGTCTGCTTCTCTCAGCTCTGAGCAGCTCGCTAAGTCTAAGGCCGGGCTGGAATTTAGTGAGCCTGACTCTGAGCGCCCTCATAAAAGCGGCGGCAGCTAAGATAGGAAAGCCCGTACGTATAGTGACCTATATCCACGATGCTACATTTACATTCTACCAGCCGCACCTAAAATAAATTAAATGGAATGAAATTAACAGATCCTCGATCTGAATAAGTAAACTTGTACAACAGGAAGCCAAAGTACAAGTGTAAGAAGAAAGAAGGAAAAAGAAAGGCACAGCCGGGGAAAGAAGAATGACAAGAAGAAAAGAATAGGGCATTACGGCCAGCAGACTCATTCGTACACACAGGCTAGACAAAAACCTGTGAAAAGTGTCCATTCCCTGGGATTTTGGTTTGCAAGTTTCATTAGGACGAGTCCTAAGTTCATGCGGGTATCGATACATATTGTTCATGATCTGGATCGGCCATGGAGTGTCAGATGGCAGTCGGAGATGGATCGACTTCGACTTTGCCGTAGACAAAGAGATACAAGGTATCTAGCTGGCTTGCTTATTCGTCACCATGAGTCCAGCTCGGCTGGTTGTGCCGCTTGGGATCGCGAAGAGCCGTGGCAGTCCGCTTGGGCTCGGGCGAGTCTTCGAAGTTATCCCAGGAAGACTCCATCATCTTGACAGCCTTGGAGTGGTTCTGAGTGGCGGGCTCAATGTTCTCATTGGGTTTGGGAGAGTCATCTGTCATCTCCCACTGGGAATCGAAGTTCTTCTTGCGGTTTGCGGCGTTGCCGACAACACCCAGAGGTTCCTGCTTCATCTCCTTCTCGGTGAGCTCGGGGTCTCCGTGTTCGTCGTACAGACGGTTCTGGTAGAGGTTCTTGCCGCGGCCGCCGAATGAGCTGATGATCCGGGCTTCTTCCTTGTCGTCGTCGTCGTCAGTCAGCTCGAAGTGGACATCGGCATCGCGACGGGGCTTGACCACATTGGCCTTGCCTGGGGGAGTCTGGAAGTCTTTCTCGTTCTCGAAACCGAAGTGGCGCACTTCCTCGCCACGGGGGGCGCGCGAGGGCTTCTTGGGAGTCGCGAAGTCGTCAAATTCCCAGTGGGGCGTGCTGTAGGTTTTGCTGGGCCTGGTTTCATGCTGGATCTCGCGGTTGGAGTTGTTATCACCGCCAATCTCAAAGTGGCTGTACTTTCCAGGAAGAGTCTTGTAGAAGCTACGGTTCTCATCGACGGGGCCTAGACCAGCATTGTCTTCCTCATCGTCGATAATCTTGGGAACTCTCCGCTGGGGCTTGGAGGGCGAGTCAGGAATATCGTCATCCTTCAAAAATAGCTCGCTGATGTTGCGCTGGGGAGGGCGAGAAGAAGATTGCGCATAGGGGCGCATAGGTTCAGCGGCCTTCTTGCTCGGGGACAGAAGCTCATTCAAAGATCCAGCTCCATACGGGTCCTTGGTGTATCTCTTGGCAGCAGAAGCACCCCTGGGAGGCGAATCACCCATCTCAAGTGCGGCAGCTTCCTTGCTGGGCGATAGCAAGTCAGTCAAGGACTCTGCGGCATATGGATCCTTGATGCGACGCTTGCCCGGGGAGGCAGGGCGCTGAGGAAGCTCGCGCTGGGTCGAAGAAGAAAGCGACGGTGTAGACGATTCGTTCGCGGCGGTCTTGACGCAACGGATCTGGTCCTTTCCATCACGGATAGGCCAGGCGCGTCCACGCGCACCAATGACCTCAACTTGCTTCAGCAATGAGCCCTGGTCCCAGTAAATGCGGATCTGCTTGATTTCGTTGTTCACAAAGGTGACGATGTGCATCTGCAGGAGGCCGCATTAGTCGCGATCTATGCGCTATGAGCGATCTCGGGGAATTTACCGTGGGGAAAGTGACGACGCGGTCGGCCAGGAAATTATCGTCCAGCGAGGGGAGATAGGCCCCGCCACCTTCCATGAACTCCAGCGTGGTCTCCATGTCCAGGCATAGCGCGTCCGAGCCTTCAATGGAGCTGATGATCTGCTCCGATCTCTTCTTGACCACGTAGTCCTGTTTCTTCACATGGCTAATCACCGCGTCGCGCGACTCAATCTTGGTGGTGGTGGGAACATAGATCAGGGACACGTCGTCGGCCAATTTGACGTGCTCCGATTTAGGATTGGCCTGGTACTGCCTGTACTGATCCTTGTAGTAACTCATGATGGTGAAAGGGGGGAGATGTACGGAGTAGAGAAACAAAACAAGTGGGCTCGGGAGGCTTATCAAGGAAGGAAACACGGGGAAGCTACAGGTACTGGATACATATCATACAGGGGGGCGCACGGCTAATGGGTACCTGGCACCTTACATCTAAAACATATGCAGAGTAAATAAAACACGCGCACGGAGCCGATCAAAATGCGCCAGTGTTTCACTAAGTGGTCCGGTTCAGCAGGTTTAGCCCTACTTGCCGTGTTTCTCCGGCAACTAAATGCCGGGGCCTTTAGAATGGCGTCTAGAATGAAATATATGGCTTTTAAGGTTTGGTTTTTCTGCAGGTACTTGTAGAGTATTGTACATTGCAGTCCCTGGGGTTACATCTTGGAGCCCGAGATGTCCTACTCCAGGCTCTCTCGGCATGGGCTCAATTGGTCTTGAACGCTTCAGTCTAAGTCCGCGTCAGGGTCAAGCCAATGCCATATGTACCGAACAGGGCCTCGGCTCCCAGCTCCCAGCTCCTGGCTGGTTCTTTTGTTTCTCTCTAGGCAAAACGCCCTCCCAAGCACTCGCTGTGTCGGGAATGGTAGACAGCGTCGTACATTATCGTATGGATGAAATGGGTGAAAAGGGTGGGTATGTGGTGCAACTCGTGTCTCATTACAAAGGTCTGTGGGGGATTCGAGTCAGAAAGTGCACTCTAGAGCAGGGAGAGAACAACATACCCAAGATAATCCTCCTTGATAGTGCCAATGGCATTGATAGCAGCCACGTCAGGCTTGACACCCAGGATCTTAAGACGCAGGCTGGTTCCTTTCTCAATCACTTGATCAGCGTGGTCAGTGTATTGTGGCGGCACGGTGTTAGGCTCCCATTTGATATCGGAGGGAATGTTCTGGTAGGCTATCAGCTCTGTATGGCGTTGAAAGAAGTGGAAGGAGCGCACCTTTCGCGCAATGAAGACAGATAATGGGCCCGCCAGGGTGAAGATACCCGTCGGCTTGACGGAGGTAACAATGGCATCGACCTAGGCTCAATCAGCAAGTACTCGGAGAGAACAATCTCGGATCCCAAGCGCATACCGTCTCGCCACGGAACGGCTTCCAAATGATCGCCCGATATCTGATGGTATATTCTGCCTGTCCAATGCCGGGCATCACTCGTCCTTCACCAATATCAACCATGTCCATGACACAGATCACAAAGTGATCACCCGTACACCGTCCCTCTTCCTCTTCGTTGAGTCGGGTGATAAGGTATTCCCGCATGTTAGGTCCAAAAAAGGACGGGTGCATCGAAATCACCTTGGTCTCTTCTTTGAGGAAGAACATTATCGCGGTTGTGGTATGGGAATGCGCTAGAGTCGGTTTGGGGAGGTATCAAAAGATTGGTCTCTGTTTCAGAGTGCTGTCAATCGAGGTCAAGCGACGGCGTTTGCGAGCTCATGACCTGCAGTAGTGAGGCACGGGTAAAATATGGCCACAAATGAGTGAAAGAAGATCCGAGGGGTAGGTGTGGCAGATGTTGTATCTGCCTTGAATGGGCGGAGAGGCAGATACAGCTAGAAGCGCAAGCTTTCCCTTGTGAGAGCATCTCGGTCTGGCAGTCCAAGTTTGGGTGGATGCGTCACGTGATGTGAGCAAAGAGGCTCGGTCAATATCAAGAGCATTATTTAAAATGTGTTATGTAAATGGTAATCTCTTTGTCAGGAATCAAGAAATTATGAGTTTTATTGTCAATTTCGTTGTTAAGGTGAGGTTAGTTCCTTGTATGCGCAACATGGCCAGATCTATAGCAGGCTATACAGCGACTATATTACTTTGTAGGAACTACAGGTGTCCCTCACTAATATGGACTTTATATGATGGCTCAGAATGTCTACAATAGTAAAGTTGTTCTTAACATAGGCTTTTTTTGACAAACTGCTCTCAACGCGTCAAGCAAAACGCATGTGGGCGTATATATATTTAGGGACACATTCATCTGGACGTATGTAAATATGTAGTTTTCAAGCTCAGAATTGACGATGCTAGAAGCTATACTGCTCATTTTAGAGTCAAATAGTAATTTAAAGACAAATATCTCAAGTATACGGAGTCCGTATAGCCAGAAGTATTGAATATATGTTCTCGAGATTGATCAAAAACTGGTAGTTGACAGCTATATTAGTGGGCCACTAAAGTCAAACCCAATAATAAATATAGATAATCTGCGAGATTGTCCTAACATAAGTGTAGGCGTAGGGGTCCAATACCCTGCCAAGACCACGTATTATCCTCGGGTTTAGCGCATGACGCCAGGACCTTTAATATCAAACCACTTTGCCCAACATTTCCTGCAAATGCCTCTTCTTTTTCATTGATTCTCCCGAACCCGCCACATTCGTTTCCACACCTTGATCAACTCGGCAAGATGGCGCTCAACCTCGAGAAGCAGCTACTTTTTGTATGCCCCCGCGCTGTCCGGATGATCCGAACAATAGCTGACACTGATATCCTGACCTAGTACGGCGCCTACCACAATAATCCCGTACAGACGCCCTACCCCATGGGTAATGACGAACAGGTTCGCTGACAGTGCAGGTCAACGTCGCAATCCATATCACTTGCGTCCCGATCCTGCTATTCACCGGCATCGTCCTGGTAGGCAACCCGGCTCATTCCACATCCCTACAAAGACCCAAGCCACCGAAACAAGATGAAATGAGACTAACAATACCAAAACAGGCCTGCAATTGCCCACCCCTCTTCACGCTCCCAGACGTGCTCCAAATCCATTACCTCCCCGCAAACGCCGGCACGATCGGCGCTCTCATCTACGCCATCTTCTATATCCTCCTGGAACCTATAGCCGGTGGTCTCCTCGCCCCCGCCGTGATCGCAGCCGCATACTACGGAAATTACTTCCTCGGAACCTACGGCAACACCGTGAACTACTGGGCCGGCGGCATCCACATCGTCTCCTGGCTGGCGCAGTTTGTCGGACACGGTGCGTTTGAGAAGCGAGCCCCTGCGCTGCTGGATAATCTTGTCCAGGCTATCCTGCTTGCCCCGTTGTTCGTCTGGATGGAGGTTCTGTTCTTCTTTGGCTATCGCCCCGAGCTGCAGGAGCGCTTTGAGAAGGGTGTTGAGCTTGAGATTCTGAAGTTCCGGAATCAACAGGAGTCTGAGAAGGTGAAGGGAAAGGCCAAAGGGAAGGGGAAGGCGCAGTAGATGCAGGTTGCAGGCTGCATATAGAGTAAGGGACCAAGGGGACCTCGGGAGTGTTGGCCAAGCTGGTGGGAGCTTGCTCCCCGGTTATCTCGGGAGGGAGGTATTGGCTGGTGTTTTCCTTTTGCTAGGCTTGTCTCATCATTTATTATTTAGCACAGCGTTGCTTTGTGATTGCTTCGTATGTCTTGTGGCATATGGATAATTCGGGTATGGAATTACCGAGTCGGCGTTGCGTAGGTGTCATGAAATCTTGTTCAACATTACAGCTCTGTGAAGCAGTATAAGTATAGACTGAGCTATAGTAGCTATAGTTATAGGTACTGTTAAGTTATAAGTTAGCTATAGGTATACTGGTTGCCCTGGTGCTGTGACATAAGCGACACCTGACCAGGAATTCCGCCGATCCGAGAAGAGAAAAAAACGGGACGAGAAGTGTGGCCCGTGTGGCTCCTTGTTCCGGTCGCCAGTGCAAAATGTTCAGCCATGGGGGGACACTTTGACTGTATATTTTGAAATTTAGGAAAAGACATGAGTTTTTATATAGAAAGATAAAATATTTTAGCAATTAAATTCATGATTATAACACAGTGAAGGTGGTCGGACACACTAGGGCCACCTCGGAGGGCCCAGTGTCCGAAACGGTTTAGCGCCAGTCCTGAGAATCCAATCCTCCCCCCGACGACAAAGCTCTCCTTCCCGTCCACAATCCTCTCTCCTCTCCCGTTCCCTCTCCCCAATTACATCTCTTCCTCAGAGAATTCATCCTCCCATCCTCTGAACCCCCCTTTCACAATGTTCAGAAACGCTCTGCGGTCGTCCAGCCGCTCTGTCGCGGCCGTTTCGGCCCCTGGCCGCATCGCCTCGGTGAGTCCCATCCCATCTTAGCCGGTCAATCCATCGCCAGTCCGACATCGTTCATCTCAATTCCGAGCTCGATCGGTGCTCAGACCTCATCACTACACGGCGCCTATACATGGAGGATACCTCCGACACGTTGTACTTGCTGGAAATGGTCATTGACAAGTTTTTCGCCCATTCTAGGTCCGCGCCGCTGCTGCCGGTCCTCTCAACGGCGTCCGCTCTTACGCTTCCGAGGCCAAGGCCCAGCCCACTGAGGTCTCTTCCATTCTTGAGCAGCGCATCCGTGGTGTCTCTGAGGAGGCTGGTCTCGCTGAGACCGGTCGTGTCCTGTCGGTCGGGTACGTTCATCGCCCTTGTTGGGGCCGCGAAGAAAAATTCGGTCCTCGGCTACAATTCCATCGAATCCGCCCTTTCCCATCAACATTCGACAAACAACGAACCCAGAAACTGATTGAGCTTTGAATAGTGATGGTATCGCTCGTGTCCACGGCATGACCAACGTCCAGGCTGAGGAGCTGGTCGAGTACGTGTTCCCCCCAATGTCTTGGCATTATCCCGTCCGGAAAACTAACCCATCTCCAGGTTCGCCTCCGGTGTCAAGGGTATGTGTATGAACTTGGAGGCCGGCCAGGTCGGTGTCGTCCTGTTCGGTTCCGACCGTCTCGTCAAGGAGGGTGAGACCGTCAAGCGTACCGGCGAGATTGTAAGCCTACCTACCCCCTAGGTGCCCATTCTGATATTGGACCTTGTTTCGATTCTCCTGCAACATATACTAACCATCCACAGGTCGATGTCCCCGTCGGCCCTGAGCTGCTCGGCCGTGTCGTCGACGCTCTTGGTAACCCCATTGACGGCAAGGGTCCCCTTCAGACCAAGGAGAAGCGCCGTGCTCAGCTCAAGGCCCCCGGCATTCTGCCCCGTCAGTCCGTCAACCAGCCCGTGCAGACTGGCATGAAGAGTGTCGACTCCATGGTGCCCATTGGCCGTGGTCAGCGTGAGTTGATCATTGGTGACCGTCAGACTGGTAAGACCGCTGTCGCTCTCGACACCATGCTCAACCAGAAGCGTTGGAACACCACCGGCACTGATGCCGAGAAGCTCTTCTGTATCTACGTTGCTGTCGGTCAGAAGCGTTCCACCGTTGCTCAGCTCGTCAAGACCCTTGAGGAGCAGGATGCCATGAAGTACTCCATCGTCGTTGCTGCCACCGCCTCCGAGGCCGCCCCCCTGCAGTACATCGCTCCCTTCACCGGTTGTGCCATGGGTGAGTGGTTCCGTGACAACGGCCGCCACGCCGTCATCATCTACGATGATCTCTCCAAGCAGGCCGTTGCCTACCGTCAGATGTCCCTGCTCCTCCGTCGTCCCCCTGGACGTGAGGCCTACCCCGGTGACGTTTTCTACCTCCACTCTCGTCTCCTCGAGCGTGCCGCCAAGATGAACAAGACCCACGGTGCTGGTTCCCTGACTGCCCTGCCCATCATTGAGACCCAGGGTGGTGACGTGTCTGCCTACATTCCCACCAACGTCATTTCCATCACTGACGGCCAGATCTTCTTGGAGGCTGAGTTGTTCTACAAGGGTATCCGTCCCGCCATTAACGTCGGTCTCTCCGTCTCCCGTGTCGGTTCCGCCGCCCAGGTCAAGGCCATGAAGCAGGTCGCCGGTTCCCTGAAGCTGTTCTTGGCTCAGTACCGTGAGGTCGCTGCCTTCGCCCAGTTCGGTTCCGACCTTGACGCCTCCACCAAGCAGACCCTTGCCCGTGGTGAGCGTCTCACCGAGCTCCTCAAGCAGAAGCAGTACTCCCCCATGGCCGTTTCCGACATGGTTCCCCTGATCTTCGCTGGTGTCAACGGTCTCCTCGACACCATCCCCGTCAACAAGATCCTCACCTGGGAGTCTGAGCTCCTGTCTCACCTCAAGAGCTCTCACCCTGAGGTCCAGCAGACCATCGAGAAGGAGGGCCAGGTCAGCAAGGAGTCCGAGGCCAAGCTCAAGGAGGTTATCTCCGCCTTCAACTCTTCTTTCAACGCATAAGTGAAGAAATCACCCGGATGATCCTTCGTGGTCGGCTTTGTTTTCTTGACTCTATGTGTATAGACAAGATAGCCTGTACAATTTTGAGCCCATTGTTTTGTTCTGTTCTCTTGATGCCGGTGCTATAGCCGAATCTAGGTCTGCCCCTGGATGTAGCGATGTAATGATCTGCATGATCCTGGGCGGACCATGGATTTACTGTAGTGCCTTTCCGAGCGAACGCAAGGCTAGGCTGTCAAAATGTGATTATATCCTGTACGTTTAGATTTTATCCGCGCAGGGGGCGCGAGATGGGAGGACGACCGTTCTAATTCCGTCCGGTCTCCTGCTCCCCATGTTGAACCGCAATTTATTCCATTTGTTCAATTTGTTCACTGTAGAGACAGTAAACAGTAGATCGTAAATTGTAAATAGCCTTACGACTGTCTACACAAGGTCTACCTTTTTATTCATGGATCGTGGATGTATAACTTAATCTATAAGTATAGATCATTTTAAGATCAGTTAGATTGCCAGGCCAATACGATTGAATTCTAATATTATACCATCGCATATTGCTACTTCCCTTTATACTTCACTCTTTACACGAGTGAGAGTATACAAGCTCGGCAGTGAGGCCGAAACCGGCAGCCGATCTGTTATCGATAAGCGAACAATCTTTTCCCGCCAAACCCGCCATGAAGTCTCCCTGCGTCGCAAACTTCACTTCTCTCCAGACTTTGGATAAATCGCCGTTATGTCTGCTCCCACAGCTGCGCCTACACCTTGCAAGGTGATGTTGAGCAAGCACGTTGCCACCCACCTCCTCGCTGAAGTCGAAGAAGGCCTCAAGACCCTCGAGAAGCCGCCTCACCTGGTAGGTTTCCTGGCCAACGATGACCCTGCTGCGATGGTCTACGCGCAGATGACAAAGAAGACCTGCGAGGAGAAGTAAGTATATACACCATTTCCATGTTGTGCGGTCTCAATGGCTTCATTCTTGGTGGGATGGTGGGGGTGCTAGTATGATTCATACTACCCCTCAACCCTCGACAGACCACCCAAAAGCCAACCAATTGATATAACACTCAATTGACATCATTAACTAACAAAATGTCCCCCCAGTGGATTCAAGTACTCCCTCCGCGAAGTCTCCCGCGACGACATCGAAGAAGCCATCCTGGCCGCCAACACCGACAACGACGTCGACGGCATCATCGTCTACTATCCGATCTTCAACAACCGCCAGGACCAATACCTGCAGCAGATCGTCGATATGACCAAGGATGTCGAAGGCCTGAGCCACCGGTACATCTTTAACATGTACCAGAACGTCCGCTTCCTGGACGGCGAGGCCAAGCGCCAAAAGTCCATCCTGCCCTGCACTCCTCTGGCCAACATCAAGATCCTCGAGTACCTCAACATCTATAACACCATCCTGCCCTACGGCAACCGTCTCTTCGGCCACACTATCTGCGTCGTGAACCGTTCCGAGGTTGTTGGTCGCCCGCTTGCGGCCCTGCTGGCTAATGATGGAGCCTGTGTTTACAGTGTTGATGTTACTGGCGTGCAGAAGTTTACTCGTGGTGAGGGACTGCAGAAGAAGAGACATGATGTTATTGAGTTGGAGGGTAAGACTCTTAAGGATGTTGTGCCGCTCTGTGATGTTGTTATCACTGGTGTCCCCGGTGATAAGTACAAATTCGATACCAGCCTTCTGCGTGAGGGTGCTGTCTGTGTCAACTTCTCTAGTGAGAAGGTATGTTTTAACCTCTGTTTGAAAGGATCACCGTTGCTAATTTTGTTTCTTTTGTAGAACTTCCCCCACGAGGTTCGCGAGAAGGCTTCTCTCTTCGTCCCCTCCATTGGAAAGGTCACCATTGTCGTCTTGCTGCGCAACCTTCTGGTAAGCCTCGTTATCTATTACATACTTATATCCTTGATATCGGATCTAACCATTAAATTACAGAGACTCATCCAAAACAAGCGCTTAGACGACGTCAAGCCCGCCGAAGCCACAGAACGCCCCGGCACCCTCGAGGCAAACACCTAGGCGACGTTCACGCGAATTCACTATTGACTGATATGCTAGGCGACCTGGACATGTCATAAAAAATTCCTATAGATTCTGTTTGTTATTAGCCATTTTGATTATACACTGAAACCGCACGTTTCTCCCGTCCCTTTCTCTTCTCCTGTTTTCGGCTTTTGATTCCTGCATTTGATATCTCCCATTCACAGTCCATGTGTTATTTTAAACCGAGATCGTGAAATATAATCATCACTCTGAAACAAAATAAAAATTAGAAGAAAGACGTGATATAAATAAAAGAACCAGCACCATACTATCCATCATCTCCACGAAAATAACCGCTCAATCCCAATAACCGCATCAAATTGAGAAACAACCGAGCCCAATGCCTCACTAGCAGATAGCAAACCATAATCCAGCTCCTTCTCGGATCTGAAGCCAAACCCATTAAGACGTGGAATCTCGCCGACGAGCAGGGATTCCCGTGTCCAGCCGTGGATTCGGACGTTTGGGGGCATTATTATGAGTAGGAGTCCGATGTTGTATAGGTTGGTCTTGTCGCTTTTGGGTTTGGCCTTTGTCCTGTTTTTGGATTTGGCTTTGGGTTTGATACGGTATATCCGTATTTGGGGTATATGTTCTGTTTGTGGTTGTGTTGAGCAATATTGATTTGTTTCGTTTGTGGTTTGTGTTGGTGTTGGTGTTGACGAGGCTAAGGATGTAGATTTAGATGTATGGCTCGACTCGGCAGCTGCATTGAGTGCGCCTATATCTTGTAGTTCAAGATGCCTAGTGGCACCCACTGCAGCTGTGATATCACCATGTGAGATATGCGTGGTTATCAGGGTAGTCTCAGGACAAATTGGATCTGGCTGGTCAGTTAATTGACCGTCTGCTTGAGATGAGATGAAGTTAGGGCTTACCGCGGCGAGGCCGAGGACGAGATAAGATAGAACCCATTTTGAATGATTTCTTTTTTCCTTTCTTTTTTTATTGCATTCTTGCATTCTGTTACTTATGGGCGAGGACAGCTGTAATAAATATGGCAATGACAAAGGCTGGGATTGAGGTGGAAAGCAAGGGATGTTTGGAATCACACCGTTCATGGTGGCTTGTATCACCAGGGTTAATATTATTTGAATTTGATTTTGCACCGAGTGGGATAGAGGAATGAGCCGAGATTAGCTGTTGAACTGTGTGGAAATTGTTTGGAGATAGTTGTTTTGTATAGTACGAATGGCAAGGGTACACATGAGACTTTTAGCCCTCAATGGTGACTTGATTGATTTGTAGAACGCCGGGGATAATCGCATTGGGAGATGCAGATGCATTATGCATTTCCTGAATTATAGGATCGTGCAGGTAAAATTGACTTGCTCCATGTAAGTACAGCTGTGCCTAGATTGATTGGCTGGGTACGTTTTTAGGGTTGGTTCTACCAGCGCTGTGTGATGATTTCCAGCATAAGCCAGGGAAAGGAACAGAGAACGACTGGGTTACAGAAGTCTAAAGATATTTTCGGGTAAGTGTGATGAAGAGTATAAGAATCACACCAGACATCAGCGGAAAGCATACACACCCAAACAAGCGGTGTTTTGATTCCCAACGAAATCATACTCGTCAAAGGTTTCAACACTTATTTTGTAGATACGCTACCATGTTCACCTAATAATGCAAATTGATATCACGAGTTCGTCCAGGAAACACAGCCCTCAGCTATAGTATTGAAGATCCTCCAATTCAACCAGACTTCTTCTCGTTCTCCTTAGCCGCCAATCTCAAAACATCAATCTCACCAGCCAACCAGCTGCGGAAGGGCTCGGGGTGGAATACACCTTCTGCCGAGAACCAAGTTGTGAAGGGAGCCTCGCAGCGCTTTTCCTGGAGGACCTTGCCAGAAGCAGACTTATAGGAAACATGTAGCTTGTAGAGACTGGAGAACTTCTTTGACGAAGAGGAAACCGATATCTATAAATAGTAGTGTTAGCTTTTTGCTGGAAAGAAAGGATCGCACTAGGTCTCAAGACCAAATAACATACCGTCTCTCCAGTCTTCCTCTTCCCGCGGTACACCTCACCAGCCTCAACGGCCCAAACCCAGTATGTGAGAATGCTGTTCAAGATAAAGTAGGAAACCACTGCCGCAATAATCCAAGGGGAGGTTGTAGCTTCCCAGCCGAGAATGCGGTCAGCATAGAAGGTAAATCCAGCAATCGCGACAGCACTGTATCCAAGCAAGAAGCGGATGTTTGTCTTTGAGTGGTCCGGCGTGAACGCGTATGGAGCGGGGAGGTTTGTCAAGTAAGGAAGGAGAGCATCGTCGCTGGTAGACTTGAGATCTATGGTTCGCGATTCGTTAGTGTTATTGCTGTATAGTGTAGATCTGGATAACGGACCATTGGTCGAGTAGACCGGCACCTTGTTGGAAGCCATGAGGAAGTTGATCAAATATACGGATTAGGATCTTCGTAATAACCAGAAAAGCGAGCGCTGGTCAGTATGCAACGATCGAGGCAGGACTGTGTTGGCCAAAGATGCGGCGTGGCCCTTTGGAGCTGAAGCTAGCGGCCAATGACATCTCTCTCCGCCTAACCTCTGCCCCTTCAACTTTCCAACCCCCACCCGCCAACACTCGGGACTTGTCTCTTTAACGCAAGCTACACTCCTTTCTGTCTTCATTTTCATAATGGCAGTTCAAGGGGTTGAGCAGACCATCCTTCGGGATCCGGCGCTATTGTGAGAGCACCCGAATTGACTAGGAGAAGTCGAACTGACCATTGCTTATAGCTATTGGATTCTGTTCCCGATTTCAATTGTCATGGTATGATTAACTTCCAACATGGGGACTGAGTCCTGCGATGCGCCCGGAGTGTAACTAACAACTCCAATAGATTCTGACCGGAATCCTGCGCCACTATGCCACGGTCCTGATGAACTCGACTCCCAAATCGCCATCCTCCCTCGCCGAATCACGCGAGCGCCTTGCCCTCCTCCGCGGCGTGAACCTTCGCAACAATGCTTGCTCCGTACTCAACCGCGAGTCTTTCGAGATGCGCAAGAACTACCTTGTTTCCGGGTTCCGAAGCGGCGCGTTTTTGAAGGACCCCAATAACCGTGGCCAGCCACCTGCGAACCCCATGACCGATCCTGCAGGCATGGAAGCCATGATGGGCATGATGAAGGGAAATATGATGATGATGGTCCCGCAGACATTGATCATGAGCTGGATCAATGCCTTTTTTTCTGGATTCGTGATCTGTATGTTGCAATGAGTCTGATTAAGTATGATCAATAGCTTACATGTTGCAGTGAAATTGCCCTTCCCTCTCACCATTCGGTTCAAGTCGATGCTGCAGTCTGGTGTTATGACTCGTGATCTTGATGTGAGATGGGTGTCGAGTCTTTCGTGGTACTTCCTCAACTTGATGGGCTTGCAGTCCGTTTTTGGATTCATCCTCGGCAGTGATAACGGTATGTATCAGTCATATAAGCTCATATTGCTTCTTATGCAAGTGCAGTAAGAGGAACACTCGCTAACATCAAACAGCCGCCAACCAAATGGCCCAGCAAATGGGCATGGCCAACCCTGCAGCAATGGTGAACCCGCTGCAACCCGGCCAAGACCCCGATAAGCTGTATCTCAATGAGGCAGAGAACTTGGAGGTGATGGAGCACTTCTGCATCCTTGATGGTGTGGAAGAGAGAATCTTGCAGAACTTCGCTCCTCAGGGCGTTTGATCTCAAGCTGGCATTGCTTGTGTATAGCGCTGGGTATATACCTGGCTGGGGCCAGTACTGGCCTTGAGCAGATAAAGAATAGAATGCCATGTCTCTTCAGACCTACGTATGTATTATGTCTACATCTAATAATTTGAATGATTCATATTGCCAATTTCCCATAACTCGTAGTATTATCGTAACCCATAACAATCACTCTTGACGGTAATTGATAACATCGTTCAAGATCCAGACTTCTCCGTTTGAGACCTTCTCTGCAACGGAATCAACTTCAATATTGCCCGGTTGGATCTAGAGATGATCAGTTAGTCACATCAACGCTTTGAAGAGACTACGAAACATACAAGTATTTTATCCCCCTCCTTGGTCCACTTCAGCTTCTCCCCTGCAAGTGTCTCAACCTCTTCCCCAGCCCTCCAAGGGCTAGCAGCAACCAAATGAGCCTCCACGAATTGCTTTAGGTTCCGCTTTGCCCGATCTTGGCCATCTTGACCTTCATATGCGTTTACTTCACCAAATTTCCTGTAATCCTCTGGATTCTCCCAAGGTTTCCGTGGAAGAGCCTGGATTGCACTATTGCGAGGCGCCAGCACCGTTATATTCTTCGAGGCATCGCTGAGACGAGAGTCGATTGGTTCGAAGTCCCGGGTTAACCGGGCAAAGATATTGATGCCCTTAGTCTTGGGAAGGACGTCTGAGATGATAGGACCGTCTCCACCAAACTTCGAGCTCAGATCCTCCACCGGCGCCGTTGTTTGCGGTTTGAGGATGTCGGGGATGATCTTATCCATCATGGATTCGTGTTCAAGGACTAGTGGTTGCTGGCGGGAAGGGATACGATACGATAGCCCCCAGAGCGCAGATGCGGTACTAGTAAAGAGAAGTGCAAATAGAAGAGATGTTAGTAGAGTCACTCCCATGCTGTGTGCTGAAGCCATCTTGTTCGTTCAAGGAAAGACAGGCAAACCTGACAATGACGCAACGCGCACGTGACGTGGGGAGATAACAGAATCACCTGATATCGATAAGCCACAGAAATTGGCCGCGATCTTGAACTTGTCCCCATTCTACACTGGTTCGCCTTGATCGATTGGCAATATGTCAGCTCTGCAGACCTTCATGCTGGTCATTGACCATGACAAAGAGGAAGCAAAGCGCATTGCCGAGGGAATCGCGCAAGGTAAGTCTCCTTCGCCCCGCACTTGCTACTCTGAGGGGTGACTAACTGAGGGATTGCAGATATCGAGAACAAGAAGACGACGTTGATTGATACCGTCCAATCGCTTGGCGAATATATCAACGACGAAGACCCGATTCTGCGTGGAAAAGCGGTGTCCTACCTTACCGCAGTTATCCAAGCCCTCTCGCCGAAGTACCTCTCAAGACAACAGATTCAGGTCTTGACTACATTCTTCTGTGACCGCATCGAGGATGGAGGCGCTGTTGCTGGATTGGAGACTCTGCAGGGCCTGGACCGGTTCAATCGGTTATTGGCCAGCCAGGTAGCACAAGCGTACGTCCTACACTTCGCCTTCAGTGCCAATTGAGCTTTGGCAAAGCTTGTTTCGATTATGGTTATATGCTGACTTTGCTATAGCCTGTTTTCCAACTTCCAGGATCTCCAGTCTCGTTCGCAATCACAACGATTCCAAGTTTATCAATTGCTCAATGAGTTGATGTCAACACACCGCGAAGGTATGTTCATTACCGAAAGTGCCTTTGGATCTCGGATATGGGACTAATAGTCAGTAGCAATGCGCAACATGGGTGACATCTCACTCCTCGGAGTTGTCGATATCATGACAGGAGAGAAAGACCCACGGAATTTGATGGTCGTGTTCTCCATCCTGAAGGTAGTTATGGTGGAATGGGATATTTCCAACCACGTTGAGGTATGCACCCTCCTTGCAACACCGCAGAACTCTCAATTAACCCCAGAAAGACACTGTTCGACTCAGTATATAACTACTTCCCGATCACATTCCGACCCCCGCCCAACGATCCATACGGAATCACTGCACAGGATCTCAAAGGTCGTCTCCAAGATTGCATCTCTTCAACTAGGCACTTCGCACCTCACGCCATTCCCGCATTATTGGACAAGCTCGATTCCACCTCTCCCAATGTAAAGGTAAATTTGAACATCACAATGACCTTGAACCGAGTCTAACTCTTTCACAGAAAGATGCACTTAATACATTGATTGCATGCATTCACTCGTATGACCCCGACACGGTGTCAAAGTACTCTGTCACAATTTGGGAGACTTTGAAGTTCGAGATTCTTAACGCCCAAGAGGAATTCCTATCTGAGACTTCTCTTGAGGCTTTGAAAGCTATCACGCAACGGCTTTCCGAAGGCGTCACCCAGGTATCACAAGAGCTTCCTCTTGCGCAGTATCTCAAAGCAATCACCAAGGAATGTAATGAGCAACTTCAAGAGCCTCAAAATAAGCAGGCCAAGCCGTTCCAGCAGATTCTTAGCTGCGTTTCTTCCGCTTCCGCCGTCTCCTTCATTCTTATTGTCCAGACCGTTGTTGCACCCATTTTCACTATCTACCAAGAGGCAGATGGAATTGTCAAGCAAAGGGCACTTCTTGAGACACTTAATGTACTGTTTGAAGCGGCGACGGACGTATTCGGGCAATGGACCACCCGTGGAGGTGAGATTGCCGTCGAGAACCCACTGCTTGAATTCAAGGACCAGTTCTCAGAGATCTACGGCCAGGCATTGATGGGCGCAGCCAAAGAAGAGATTTCATTCCGGGTAACTGCTCTGAAGGGCTTCTTGCGTCTGTCGACATTGCGTGATTTCTTCCAGGAGAACGAGATAGGACTTTTCGTCCAATACTTGGACGAAATTCTTCTGAAGGAGGAATCTGTTGGCCGTAATGATTTGAAAAAGGAGGCAATCGCTGCGCTTGCTGAGATTTCCAAGCACAAGCCCCGGCTGATCATGGATATTACATTCCCTGCATTTGTTGCGACTCTACCAGAAGAAGACGAGGGCTCAGATGCCCTGTACTTGCCGACACTCGAGACACTTGCGCAGATCAGCGTTGAAAGAGACATTTTCGAGACCCTCTTCCGTCGTCTATTCAGCAAGCTGTCTATCCTACTGCAGAAGGAACAGCCTGGGTCGGTGGCGTACCCTCGCGCCATCCTGATGACTTTACTCTACGTGATGCAGCAAAGAAACATGCAACAAGATCAGAGTGTTGACCTGTACTTTGACAAGATTGTGGTTGGACTCTGCCGCGACGTGGCTGCATCGTCCTCCGGCAAGGCTAAGAACCGAATTCTTAACGATCCTACTGTACTCGATACCTTAGGACGACTTTGCAACCTCCTTGTGCGGTCTGTTTCCAATGAGAAGCAGGAACAAGTGGCCGAAAATGTGTATAGCTTTTTCACCATCGCCGAGGATTTTGTGCCTGTGCCGTTCGCTCAAACGACCAGCGCAGACCAAGAGCGTACCCTGATTATCTCAACATATCTTCTCGCAGGCTTGTCAAAGGACTGCAGCAACCGGATCCCGTATGCCTCCAGCGACATATCAGCTTTGCTGTCCGATCTGGTCAGCCGTTCCGTCTCAACCACAGAACCAGCTACCCACCAGGCCTATCTGCGTCACTTGGCGTTGCTTGTGAACAAGTTCCTGTCCAAGCAGGACCTTCCAATTGCCGAGAAGCTCTTTGACTCTCTCATCCAGAGCTCAGGCGCAGAAACTCAAACTCTCAGTCCCGCAACTATCCGCACCATTTTCTGGCTATCAAAAGCTCTGGTCCTCCGCCTTGCACCCACAACAACTCACGTTCTAACCTCCCTGCTCGCCCTTATCTCTTCTCCAGACCCGCAGACCAGCACGACCGCAGCACAAGGCTTCGCCATCATCCTCGGCGACGACGACATCCTCTCCCCCACAAACGGCGCCACAATTCGCCTCCTCTGTAGACAGCGCCTCTTCACAACCGTCATCCCCCTGATCTCGTCTCGCATTCGCGAAGTCAACATTGCTGGCACAGATAACTCTGCCGCCGCCACAAAGGCACCAGATCATATCAAACCAGCCCACCTCACTGCCCTTGCTGGAATCCTTTCCACAATCCCCACGGCCCTAGTCATGCCAGAACTTCCCACATTGCTCCCTCTCCTCCTGCAATCCCTCGACCTCCAGACCGCCGACTCCATCGCTGTCCGCACAGCAACACTCGATACACTTGCTGTCATCATCCGTGACAACGGCGTTGTCGTCATCGACCAGTGCGGTCACGTCTCAAGCCTTGTCACAAGACTCCTCAAGACAACGGCTACAAACGTCGGCCCCGGCGCTGTCAATAGTCCCCGCCTCCGTGCGGATGCGTTGAGATGTCTCAACCTTCTTGCTACGCATCAAATCTCCGCAGGTGGTGATACTACCACCCGTGTCCCACCATCTATCTCGCCACTTCTGCCTGTCAAGAACCAAGTACTGAGGTCTCTGCGTGCAGTTCTTGATGATCCCAAGCGTGATGTGCGCAAGGCAGCAGTCGATGCTAGAGGAGCCTGGATACGTGGTGTTGATGATGCGCCAGAGGAAGACGATTGATTGATTATATGTCAAAACTCAGGTATCATATTCCCCAGGAAGAAATAGAGAAAAGCGTGTCTGCATCAAAAAAGGACGTTGCATATTCCGATGCATTGAGCATAGATGATATTTCCAGGATCTTGTTCGCACCTTCGTTGTTTCGAGTAAATAAGCATCATTTTCGATATGAACCATGTCATAAAAATGTGAAATGTGAATTGTTATGACCGTTTTTCCATATCTAGTTTAGGCATGCACTTGCCTCAATCAAGTTCATGATCTATACAGCCTAACACCATCGCCAATGCAATGATTCGTATACTACACCATCCCCTCAAAGTTAACCAAATCCCTCAATAACGGAGAAATTATTCTCTCAAAAACGCGCTCCTCAACTCCCCGATCAACACACAAAGAGTGTGCACTAGACCAAGAAAGACAACTTTCAACAGCTTCCCCATAAGGCACTCCACTCTCAAGATAAACCTTAGGAACAAGCCTGCTTGCAGTATTACGCCTCTTCCTCTCCGTATCCCGATCCTCGTCTTCAGGCTTTAATAATGAACCCAAGGACTTCCCAAGTGATAATTCCACAAGCGCAAGCCCAAGCGGCAAGAGAAGATTATTGTTTCCCTGCCGCATAGTTGGAACGGTGCCTTCTGAATCTGTATCCGTATCCGGTATGGAAAGTGGCCAGGAGAGATATACACTGTCGAGCATTATATCACAACCATCTTTATGAGTGGTAAGATGGACATCAGAACTATCCCATCGGGATTTCAACCAGTTGCCGCAATATTGGATCACGCCGCATGCCAGACCTGCGGCAATATGGAGACGGTCATGTCGGCTTATTTGAGATATAACTTCTTTTAATGGTTTTGGGGGCGTTGGACTGGGGATTTTCGTTGAGGCGTGCATTATGTAGTGGAAGGGGTCGTCCAGTTGGCTAGAGATCATGCCTGTTGTTGTCCATTTGGATTTGGTGGGTTCTTCGATGAGTTCTACTTCGGTTATGCGAAGGGATGAGCAGAAGTCATCGATTGGCGGGGGTGGTGGTGATAATGTTGTTTGGGAAAGATTCGTCTCAGTTGTTGGCATATCGAAACTGACTTTGGCCTTTTTGTGAGGCTCTTGTAAGGACAGACTGGTCACTGAGAGGAACTTTTCGTCTTGCCACGGCTCGAAAATGACTTCTGTCCAGGTCCAGCTGTGATTGTCTGTTTTGCCGGTGTTTGAAAAGTTCATGTGAAGTTTTGATTGGAATTCTGAGTTTGGGGGCCCCAGTGGGTTTGTTGGTAGTTGAAGGTGAACGCAGTGTTGTTCATTGCATTGACAGCGCCAGTAGGCCCCGAAGATAGTCTTGAAGAGTGCTTCTGCGTGCTTGCGTCTCTTTTGGTACTGCTGAAGAAGACGTGGCAGAGGGTGTCGTTTCTTGTTCCGTGTTTCTTCTTGGTGAAGAGACTGATCCAGCAGAGACTTGAGTATTGTATTGGCTCCATCAATCTTTTTGAGAAGATCCTCGTAGACTGCTCTACTTAGCATTTTCCAGAAATCCTTGATATCCCATGTTTTGGGGTCGGGACTCTATAGATCGGAAGTTAACGTTAATTAGCGAAAACAACGCTACCAATCACACACCTTGTTCTCAGCGATATTGATGCCCAGTTTTTTAGAAAGCCTTAATAGGAGATCATTGAGATCACTCATATTATCCAGAAAAAGGTCATAGTTTCGGTCTAGCCTTAGACGAAGCTTTCTCTGCAGGACAGGGTCTTTCCATCCTGGCCCTTGTGGGTTGTCGATCAACTCGGAAAGTTCTTGTTCGTCATTGACAATACCTCCAAGAGTCTGAATTAATGTATTTATAAGGACCGCTCGTTGCGTCGCCAGGCCCCTTGAATAGGCCGCGAGTTCTCTTCGGTAGCGCCTCAGCAACTTGACTTTCTCTATGCCCCGGACATAGCTGTCGAGTTGATTGACGAGGAGAGGAATGACAGCAAGCGTGAGTCCGACAGCTTCTATTCCAGTTACCATTTCTCCAACAGTCTGAGGTCTGCGAAGTTGACTTTTGCTCATCTCATAGCGGCTTTCTCGCGATGCCCCGCGCTAAATGTTCAGCTTCGTACGTGGGCCAATCAAACCCTGGTATGGCATGCGCTTGTGAGCACATCGGAAACTGATCATCTTTGCAGCTTCACAATTTGACGTGAACATTTACAAGATGGTAGCGGTCTCGGACCTGGTGCGGAGCTGCTTAACCAAGTTCACCTCCTTGGTCTCCTCGGCTGCCCTCTCAGGTCATGCAGAGGAGGTCTCTTTGCAATCATGGAAAGATGAAATAGGCCGACTGCGTATATGGTCGGCGAATATCGGTGCCCACCAAAGGGGTCAATCATCCCTTGACTTTCGCCTAAGGGATGCATCTCATATAAGAAGTCAAACGATCAACCTTCTTCAAGGGCTTGAAGATCTTCTAGACGATTTGAATGAGGTTCTCGAGGAGGTCTCAGACAACGAAGCCCCAGAGAATGTTGAAAACCCCTCGGATGACAACACGACCGAAATTCAACAACTACACAAAGACATTGTGGAGACAATCCATCATCTCTATCGGATGTCCATTATCATTCGAACGCCAGCTCATCACGACCGACTTCTGGGAACTAACAAGTTAGACGCCCAGCCCTTCAAACATTGGGCTCACAATCATGCTTCCAACAAACATCCCCTGGCAGATCCCGGAGTTCTCGAGTGTGTCAGTTCCGCAATGGCATTGCAGAGAGCTATATTGAAGTATCGTGAACGACATCATGCCAAACTCAGCCAAAATCTTGACGATGGCAATGAGGGCGATCGAAAATCAACTATCCTGTCAGAAACAATCGTGACGGATATATGCCATGATCTGCCTTCTGATTCCAACGACCATTTCTCCGTGGCAGATACATCTGAAACACAAACCTCATATGCAGGCACATTGATCAATGGGACAGGTGCTACGATAATCCCACCCTTGCCAAAAGAGGGTGCTGACAAAACACCATTCGAATGTCCCTATTGTTTCTTGATAATCTCCGTTCGAGATACGCGAGCATGGGCTCGCCATATCTTTCGTGACCTAATGCCATATGTGTGCATTTTCCCGGGTTGCTCTGGCAAACTATATGAAAGTCGCCGACAGTGGTATGCCCACGTTGAGAATGCACATGCAGATTCAATGTCATTCCCCAAATTTGACTGCTCTATATGCAAGGATACCTTTTCTACTGCTAAGTATGAGCGGCATGTGAGTCGTCATTTGGAAGAGCTGGCTCTCTTTCTTCTTCCTCGATCGGTAGAGAAAGAGGACAGTGATCAAGACACAGATGAAGAATCAGAACATGCAATGAGTGATGAGCTCAGACAGAAGCCTTATATCGACCAAGCTCTGCTTATTCCTGACCTTGCTCATAACGAACTGCTCGAATCGGACAATCCTCCGATTTTCGAAACACTCCCACAGAATGAACCTTTTGGGAACATTGGCGATGAATCTCGAGAAGCTGAGGAGCCAGAACCTTGGCTCGAACGTCCAAACCTTCCATGGCTCGATGATGCCCCATACATTGCTCCGTACATCGATGGCAATGGCGCTGAAGAGAGCGACGATGATGAACCTATCATGTCCTCGCGTGGCAGGTCAGGCCATGATCAAATTATCCTGAAATACCGTGGAATCTCTCATACTGTGGACATTTTTGAGTTCAGCATTGACGACGGAAGTCTCAACGTTGGCAAAGTACGGAAGAAAGCTGCCAGCATATTTGGTAAACCGAGCGAACGGGTCAAATTGCTATTCAAAGGGCGCATGCTGAAAGATGACGAGATCGCATGTAAATCGGTGGGAATACAGAATCGAAGCGAGTTGCTGTGTGTTGTTTCCGAACCTGACACATATTCGCTAACCGATTCCTCCGGATCGTCTGAGATCGTGAAATCCGGAGAAAGCCACAAGAAAACCAAAAAAGCAAAGAAGAAGAGGAATACAAGTCCCTCTTCATATAATTCCTCAGGGTCAGTACGTTTCCCGGGGTATAAAGAAAGCGAGTTTCCACAGCTCCGATATTCCGGGAATGCCTCAAGTCGAAGAGAACATGAAGACCGATGAACCCAAAAAGAAGAAACGTACAAGCCATGTTTCGTCTCAGCGCTTATCTGTGATAAGCCTTGTCTCTCCGTGGGATGAACTTAACGAAATGTTGGATGAGTTACATGTCCTGGACAATGTCTATGTGAGTGATGATACCCGAGACAACAGGAGGGCCGATACACCCGAAAGAATGCGGCAATCAAACCCTGCAGTGGAAGAACAGTCTCTGAAGCATAAAGCGAAGACCCAATTTGCTCGTTCACGCCAAGAATACTCTATTCTCAGTGCAGAGTTGGGAAATCCACGTGAAGACCGTGATGATAAAACAGAAGATTGCTTTAGGCTCGTCCGGTTAATGACTAGCCTAACGAAGACTTTAAAAGATATAAAGACTAAGGACCGGCTTGAGAGAGATGGGGTATTGGCTCTGATCAAAGAGGCGAAAGGTCTGAAGGATCAATTACACGCTCTTGCGAGCCTTGAAATAGCACAATTATCCAAGAGAAACCGGTAAAAACAATAAAATTGTGGCTATGAAAGACAGACAATGAAGAAACTCAACATGGTGCCTAGATCAGGGTTGGAATTTTGACTATGAGGACTATTGACGCCTTTGTCTCATATTAAGCCAGCCAATTCCTATAAGATTCTGCGCCTTACTATTACCTGTATTTTAGTAGACTGTATAAGAAGCTAGTCAACGACCTTAGCGTCGTATCTGCAGTCATAGGCCGCAAATCTCCAACCCAAGACACTGGAAAATGGACAAAAAAGAGGTAAAAGAAAGGGAGGCCAAAGTCAGGCGAAAAAGGTGTATGAAACGGTATACTCGCTTCGTGGCTAGGTTTTGTGTAGTGACTGTCCAATACTTCATCAGTGGCACTGCATACACATTTATGACCCCCTGCTGTGTGATATTTGGCTTGATAGGTTGCCGACAGATACTAGTAGCGTAAACTAGCATTTCGTGCTAGGAGGAATTTAGTGTAAGAGAGAGGGCAATTATAAATCAGGGTTGACATGAAATATCAAGACTTGGTTAGAGTACTATATCAAAAAGAAAGCTACAGAGCAAGAAGGCGAGGAGCTAAAGAGGTTATTAAGCGATAGAGAGAGATATGCTATTTGTTCTTCCTTTGTAGTTAGCTATTTATCCTTAGCTTGGACAAGCGAATTCAATTGACGGCAAAGTGACGTGGAAGTGATACCAAATACATCCAAACTGATCTAGTTACAAACATCTGTACACGTAGACAATCACATATTATACGTAGAAATAATGCTAAACAGATATACAGTTATCTTACTGACTAGCCTGTCGTAAATAAGATAATCGAAGACTACGCCCGTTTACTCATCTCTACACCGCTACTGAGGCCCCGAAGACTCTTCATAGGACTTTAATTTAAGCGGGAAATGCGAGAATAATGATAAAGTACTGACTAGTAGACCTAAGGCGCCGAAGCGCCGCGCAAGAGGATATTGTGCAAGCATCTGTTAATGGCTTCATTGAAGAAATTAGAGCCTCGAACCTCAGGTCACCCTCTTCCCCTGCCACACTTCTTACAATGAGATACGGAGACGCCTGGTAGGAGAATTTTCCAAGCTTGGAACTATGACAACGACTAAGCGCCGAGAATAACTGGCTAACCCCGTCATGTGGCTCCGGCGAGGTGAGCCGAACAATTTGTACACAGGACTGGAGCATCATCGCCGTATCCCAGACTCAACGGCTGCTTGTCCGAGGACCATGAACGCACATTATAGCTCGACAGAACCCTATTCAAACTTTTTAAGAACAAGTACACTCCTGAATGGCATAGATAGACCAGGCCTTATGCCAGATGGATATTTCCTGGGAGGCATCATGCCATTGAAACAACTCAGGGTTATTGAAACAGAAGACCTGAATGAGACCAAGCCCATGAAGATTCACTACACATAACAGCTTTGAGAAAAGTTGAGTCTAAAGCAGAGCTTCATGTGAAAATGCCCTCCACAGATTACATATGTAAGACGAATATTTATTGAACGTATGGACGGACAGATAGAATAGAAGTAGGCACCAGCCTAATGAGCCAAGTTGGGACGAAAGTAACAGGATAGCACTTTCGATAGAATCTTATGACCTGGGTAGTCTCTGTTCAGTCATATCCAAGAGGTAAAAATATGCAGGTCATCAAACATCAAGTCTAATGCGTTCGTTAAAACAACAGAAATGAAAACGTTCAAGGATACCAGATCAAACTCTGCCATGGCGGGTATCTGCTGCAAAAAGAAACGCCATGCACCTGCAATGGGAAGGATCTATGATAGGGAAGAAGGGATGTGGATGGTTTGGTGAAAATGGTGTAGGTAGGGTTCGGGATGTCACGGGACGAGGATCGGATGAATGGCCGTGGCGGTGAGTCGAGATAGGACGAAAGCGGTGGAAAGAGGTGGAAGGGATCGAAGGTGAGTTCTTGAGAGGCAGAATGGATGAGGTCTTGATGGAGACGAGGGAAAGAAGCGAGTGTGCTGGCAGAGCGCCGGGCAATCCAACACAACGTAGACAAACAGCAGACAACACTCATTCACCGGCAGGTTGCTTGACTTGGCTTCCACTGAGCCGAATCACCCATTTCATCTCCGATTCCGTCTCTTTAATTTTAGCCAAAGCTCCATCGATCTTGTCATTGTTTGACTGGGCCGACCCAAGCGTATCCCGGAACTCAATCTCCTTCATATCCTTATAGGCAGTATGTTTAGCCAGCAATTTCTCATACGAGTCCTTGAGAGCTTCAATCTCGCGGTTCTTCTGATCCGCAAGGACCTCCAAGCGTTCCGTAGAGTGTATATGCGTCTTCTGCGCATTGGCTATGGACTGGAACTGCCCGGAGATAGCATTGATGCGTTTTGTGAAATCTGCCTTGTCCCGTTTCGTCGTGGATGATAGCACCTCGTACTGTGTCTCGTGGTGCTTGGAGATCTCCTGTAACCGGGCTTGTTCGCGGTTGTGGTTCTCGCGTTCCTCCCGCATCATCTCGTTGGTTTGGTTGGCGTCCATTTCGGCTTCCTGGCGCTTCGAGCGTTCATTTTGTAGGTCTCTTCGCAATTCTTCCAATTTGCGGTCCTTGCGCGCGATTGAGTTGAGATTCGTCTCGTTGACTTGTTCCAGGTTCCGTAACCGCTCGTTCATATTTTGTTGCTGGATCTTGTAGGCCTCGTTCGACCTTTGGAATTCCTCGGCGCGGGACTTTTGTAGAGTGCATTCACGCGTTAGACGCGCGATTTCCTCTTGGAGGTTGTGTATGACCCGTCCGGACTTGCCGGTTGCTGCATGTCCGACTGCTGACCATTCTGCCGTTGGTGTTTCACCATTGCTCGTATCTGTTGTAGCGGAGGGATTCGATGGCTGGGAAGGAGATGGAGAGGCGTCATTGGAGGTTCCTGGGAGATGAAGAGAATGTGTCAGCTCTGGAATGGCCGTCAAAGAGGTCAAAAGTACCAACCGTTCTGACCTGGGGCCGGAGACTCGTCATCCAAAAATCCGTTGTGCATATTTAGCTGAGTGTCCACATGCGGGAGATTGACCTGCGGTGCATCTGCATGAATAAGGGGGTCAGCACCTGGGGCTAGATTCTTGCTGGAAGTGAATCGCATCATGGCCTGTTTGAAGCCCCCCATGCTGTCGGAACATGTCCGGAAGTAAACAGGCCGGAAGATCGGACGAACAGGATCAAAATGACACAAATACGCGGAGAAGGCTCATACCGATATTAAGTGTCGCAGGTGCTGCTAGCTGTGTCTTATTATTGCTTAATCATCGAGACATCGCAAGGGACAAGCTTTCAATAAAAGACACACTCTATTTTTCAATAGTGCAACAATGGCCCCTCAAGCACAGATCTCTGCAGTCGAAGTAGCGGTAAAGAGAAGAAGTGAAGTGGAAACGATCTTCTTTGTGTTCCCGCTCCGCTGTTGATCCGCTGTTGACGTCGCGGAAAGCGGCGGGGAGCAGGGGTCTTTTGTTTATCATAACCGAACTCCCTATAGAACTACAATGAATATCAATCCGATTTATCCAACATACAAAGACGATTCGTCTTGATTGCGGAGAGTATTTGATACCTGACTAACAGGGCTACAAGGCCGGGATAGTATGAAAGACTTGATTACTTCCTCAGCGCCTCATGCCACCTATATATCGACGATATCCAGGGGTACTATATATACACGAAGCTATCTTGACCAGTTTTGCAGAACGAAGGACGTGAGTATGCCCACCCCCCCCAAAAAACCAAAGAACCAAAACGCCAACAAACGGCTTTCTACTGAACAAGGTAGACGAGCAGACCAGCAACCCCAAGTACGAACTGCATTGAAGACTGAGGAATAGAAGCAGCAACGTTCCGTACGCTGCTGGTGGAAGAGGCTGCCTTGCCATTCCTAATGTCAGTGATCATGGGAACATCTGTGCTGCTTGCGCTAGATGAGCTGGCAGCAGCCGAGCCGGATGGGGTGCTAGAGCCGTTGGCCGAGGAGCTGATTAGGGCCTTGCTGCCGGTGCCGGTAGCGTCGGTGGTCCGAGTGCCAGCGGTGGTCTGGCTATTGGGAGCAGAAGTGGTACCGGCACCGGTGGTGCTGGCGTTGTCATTGAGGGTATCGGCGGGCTTGTCACCAGCAGAGTGAAGCAGAGCAGTGTAATTGGTCTCATCTTCCTGGGAGATCTGGAAGGCGTAGGTTCGACCACTCTTCACGTCGTTGTCCGGGGTCCAGGTGAAGCTGCCATCCTTGGCTTGGTCGGTGATGACCTTGACATCCCTGAGGTTGCCGGAGGGTCCTTCGCGGAGGGCAATTGTCACGGGCTAGTGTGTAATGAGTTGTCTGGTGTTTGCACTTACGACCAATTGCTACGTACCTGATCAGGGTGGGCACCACCAGCCCATCGAAGGGTGACGGGCTTGCCAGCCTCAAGCGGCTCAGTAGGCCAGGCAGTGAAAGAAAGAGGGTCAGCGAGACCCAGAGTGACGAAGGTTGCCAACGCGACAATGACACTCTTTGAGAAGATCATAATGATTAAAGAGAGTAAAATCCGGTTTGGGTTTTAAGGAAAGTGGGCGATATTAACGAAATCGTAGAGTGGCGGATGGGCGACGTGAATGGCGATACAACTTTCAAGAATCTGGGTGGCGCATCACGATTCTTATCTACTGGAAATACTGCCGTGACCTCTCCCAGCCCCGCAGAACTGAGCTCGAATATCGCATGTTGGTATTCGTAGTGAGACCAAAGGGCATTTGGAGAGAATGTTGCATTCCGCGAGCCCTAACGGTAAAGCATCAGCATATCGCCCAAGAAAGCATGTCGTTTGCCGGTCTGGGGAATTCCTGTTAGAGAGCATTGGAAATTCTTGACATAAAGCTAATTTGTGTTGATCTGAGGGCTGTAGTTCAACCATGAAAGTGGGAGTAGACTGTCACTCAGCGCCTTGTATGTATACCACGCCGGGTGGCTGTAGAATGGCATCCTTCATTTTCCAATTGTTGAAGCCAATGACCAGATATTCAACCATCAAGCCCATAAGTCGCCAATGGAGAGATCAAAGTCTCGAGGCCCAATAACATGACTTGGTGGACATGCTGGAATGTCATCCCTTCCCCAGTTGTTTGTTTGGTACTAGTCCGTAGGGCAGGATATACTGCAATATCGATCTTTCGGTCCATAAAGCATTTCTCAATCCTTGATTGTACAGAAAGCCCATACCAAGGGGTGTATTTGATGGTAAAACGTGGGTGTCGGGAGGTTGAGGTAGCTTGATCGCCATTCATAGAACATTCAATACTCACTCCGACCTACCACCTTCAAGCAACGTGAGCTGAAATGGATAGGTAGGATTTGAATATGTTCAAAAGTAATAGTAAAGCTCTGCTAATACTCCCAGTGTGTTTCGCCTACATGATCCACACAATATGATCCTTCCTGGGCAGTTATATATCGCGTCAGAGCATAACATGCTATTCTTCAAAATAAAGTAGAAGTGTCCATAGACCTGAATCTGTCCTTGTATCGAACTGGAAGCCAAATAATACACTAACTAATCCACTAACCTGTCAGCCGGAGCTGCCATGACTCGGTGGCTTCAGCCGGACATTCAGAGTTTGTACTCGATTCTGCACGCTTGAATGGAAGCAAGGGGTTTGTTTGTTGAGATGATCATTCCCTCTAATGCAGCGATACTTATACCCCGCAACATCTACTCCCTTGGGGAACTTTGCCAAAATGCATAGAATAGAATTGGTATACGCTGATAATTTTTGAACACTTAGAAATCCCACATGCTACGCATAAGACACCCAGCACCAGAGTCCACCCCGCCATCCTCTTCTAATAGACGATCTGTGAAGATACGCTTGGGGATCTGGTACTCGACAACAGGAATCTTGCGGATATTCCTTTCCTCCAACCCTAGCTCTGCTGTCACCATGCCCTGGTATGTGTGGTCGAGGAAGTCCTCCAGGCTGTAGGCCTGCTTTGTAAATTGTTCCGAGATGATACGGGCAATGGCAGCCACGTTGGGGTGGTAGTGAGACTGGAGAGTCTCGATCTCCCACAAACTGCTCTCAATCGCGTTGGTCATGGTGGGGTCGGCCTCTGTGGCATCAAAGGGGTCGTCCATGCCTTCTTTTTCCACTTCCGCGAGAAGATCCTTGTCACGGATTGACCGGTGCAAGAGGAAAGACGTGGTCGGGTGGCTCTTGAAGAAGTTGTACATGAATGGAACAATGACCACGATGGCCGAAGGAGGGGCATTGAGTGCCAGCCGGGAGAGACGCTTCATGAAGCTTGCAACCAGGGTGGCGGGAAGATGGGATGAGGACAAGAAGGTGTTGAGCAGACGGAAGAAGCGTGACCGGTGCTTGGAGTGCAGGAGCTCGGCATCCAGGAGAGAGTAGAGCTTTGCGTAGAACTGAGGGTAGTCCAGGTTCTTTTCCTGGATAAGGTAGAAGAGGCCGGACAGAGCGAGGAGAGATGTGGCGCCGCCGACATTGAAAGAGTCCGTCAAGAAGTCCATCAAGAGTTCTGGCCGGGTGAACCAGGGCTCAATGTTGTGGACCATCATGCGCAAAAGACCCTTTCGCTGTGCCTGCGAGAGGTTGTTTCGGAGAATAGCCAACCAAGCCTCTTGGGCTTGCTTCTTGTGAGAGTTCACCGAAGACAACCGCTTGTTTTTGATATCCCGGTTTGCGTAGAAGTTTTCGAATTTGTGCTCTGCTCCGGGCACTTCGTCGCAGGTTTCAAGCATCGTGATGAGGATTTCGAGGATGGCCGAAGTTCGCTTCGTTGCGGCATATTCTCTGTAACGAGTCAGTAAGAGAACCAGCCAAAAGACGAAGAGGTACATACGCCATCTGGGTGAATGTGTAATATCTGACTTCGTCATACTCCTTCATGAATTTGTTCACAAATTCAGTCTGCAGATCCTGGCCACCGCGGGCCTCGACAACGGCCTGGAAAATGTCCTTGAATCCGGTCGACCAAATTGTGCTCTCAGCACCGGGGATGTGAGCAATACGTTCCTTGATCAGGCGCATACTCAGCGTCAGGGCAGTGATCTAGAGATTATCAGTAAAAGCAATTGAGCAACCCGTTAGTATACACACCTGAGAAGTGCCATCAGCCTCGCGCATAATTGCCAGAAGAGCATTCTGATACTCCATGCAGCGCTCCTTCAGCCATGCCACAATGATCTTCTCGTTCTCAGCGGCGCGAGTTGATTCCGTGAGATTTCCTCCAGCAATCAAGCGGCTGAACACACGACAGAGGGAGACTGCCACGGCCAGATCGGGCTTCTCGGCAGATTTCTCGACATTGAGCATAGAAATCAGAATTGCAATATTGTTGTAATGCTTCCGCGACTCCGCAATCTGATTCTCTAGCTCTTGAATAGTCGAGAGTCGCTCGGCGAAATCGTCCTCGGCGACAGCGCGACGCTTGGAGGATGGGGCGCTGGCATTCTTGCCACTCTTGCGCTTCTTAGAGCTCGAATCCGTCGGGGCAGGCATGGTGTTCGTTATACAACAAGTGGTGATCGTCGCAACTTTTTTTCTGGGCAGATTCGGGATGCGGGTTTTTCCGTGGCACGGCACCAATGCCCAAAGCGGCTAGCGTCTTCACCTCCTAGCCATTCCGAACCTCAAGTCTCCTCAGTTCCGTTCACCCACCCCATTGAATCAATATCTTTCCATCTGCAACAATGGCTGCACGTCTCGCTAAGAGCGCCATTGGTATGCCCCTTACGATCCACGACCGTCTGATCGACTCGATGCCTTCAGTTGCTAACTTCCCCTAGGCGCATCCCGTCTTCGGCCGGCTATTCCCGCCCGTGGTGTCCCTGCCGTCACTGCCAACCTGACCTCCTCTCGCTCGGCCTCTAACGTGCCCGCCGAGGATCCCGCGAAAAAGGCCCAGTCGATCCTGAATGCCGTCCCCGGCAACTCCCTGGTCACCAAGACCGCCACCCTGTCTGCCGCCGCCGGTCTGTCCATCGCCGCCATCAGCAACGAGCTGTACGTCATGAACGAGGAGACCGTCGCCGCCTTCTGTCTGCTTTCCGTCTTCACCGCTGTCGGCAAGTATGGTGGCCCTGCTTACCGCCAGTGGGCCGAGGGTCAGGTCCAGAAGCACAAGGACATCCTGAACGCTGCCCGTGCCGATCACACCAACGCTGTCCAGCAGCGCATCGACAACGTCTCCCAGATGTCCGGCGTTGTTGAGGTTACCAAGCAGCTCTTCGCTGTTTCCAAGGTGGGACTTTTGGTTCGTTCTGTGTATGTGAGTTGGTTGTTGACAGGTCCTTTCAGGAAACCGCCCAGCTCGAGTCCCAGGCCTACGAGCTCCAGCAACGCACTGCCCTCGCTGCCGAGGCCAAGACCGTCCTCGACTCCTGGGTTCGCTACGAGAGCCAGGTTAAGCAGCGCCAGCAGCGCGAGCTTGCCGAGTCCGTCATTGCCAAGATCCAGAAGGAGCTCGAGAACCCCAAGGTTCTGCAGCAGATCCTCCAGCAGAGCGTTGCTGATGTTGAGCGTAAGTTATCAACACAACTCTGCATGTGAATCATACTAACTTTGCGCAGGCATCATGGCGTCCAAGGCCCAGTAAATGGGTATCAGCTGCTCACTGCATTCGGCATTGTGTACAAAACTATAAGGGCTATTTGCATCTGCCGAGTTAGACCTTGCAATACCATTTGAATTATTATTCTATATGCATGCGACGGGAGGCGAAGATTGTGTTGAGGACCGAGGCTGCAATCCCCTTAGCCTGATGTTCTCACATGAAGCTCGGCGACAAATTCCGTAGACCACCCACCAGGGATCAGGGAATTGAGCCACCGTAGCTAGACCCTTATTACTGACAAAAGAACCAGTTCTGGAGTCCCTGACACGTAAATATAAGCATTACTCTGTCTACTATGTATCTGGGTGGAACAGCTGGCACTATGACCTGCACGGACTAATGCAGCAGCCACCCGTGGAGACTGATAACGATCTATATCTACATCTAGATCTATCCTCCATAATCTCCATTAATTCTGCGGTCAACTTCAAACATACATGTAGCAGCCATCTGTGTCGCATTTGTGCGCGCATGTAGCCGCTAGCCAAGACCCATGAGACCCATGGTACACATCCGCAGCCGCCGGACACAGCCACTGCATTTGTATGGAGTTGATTGTTTCTATTTTAGATCTTCACATCTACATCTACATCAACATTTACTCCGACTTACCTTATTTCCATCCCTTTCTCATTAATCCAGCTGTCACCACCGAGATCCACCCCCGCATCAGCTAGCCCATGCGCAACCATGCCCTCCCTCCGCAACATCCTCCACAAACGCAACGAACTCAGCAAAGAACCAGAACCCAAAAATGACCAACCAACAGCTCCCCGACCTCCCGAATTCACACTCATCCGCACAGACACACACACCCAAGAAATCCTAACTCCCCCAGCAGACCCAACAACCCCAACCCTCCAAGAACCCGACACCAACACCCTCTCCCCCTCCCCACGACGAAGCTTCCAACTCTTCACGCGATCACGAAACAACTCCGTCTCCTCGCCATCCCCACCGCGCCGCGAACGCCGCCTCTCAAACCTGCTCCACCTCGACCACCGCAGTCGCAGTAACTCGCGCGACTCGTCTGCTAATATCCCAGCGGATCTACCGCAGATTCTGGATGATGGTGGCGCGAGTAAACAGGAGCGGGAGGCGCAGTGGGAGAAGAGGGCTACTGTGCTTGTTCAGCGGAATCCGCATTTTGGGACGTCTGGATCTGAGTTGGCGGGGAGTGGGAGTTGGAATGAGGATGGGGAGGAGGATTCGTTAGGGTTGGGTTTGGGGATTGAGAAGACGGGAGCTAGGTTGAGGGGTTCGACTCAGAGTAGGATTTCGGTTGGGCCGAGTGAAGATGTAAGTTGTGGATGGGTAATGGGGATGTTTTGTTTATACATTCGGGGTTGGATGGAATGTGGGACTGATGCTGCCTATAGGTTAATATTCAGGAGGCGATCCGGCTGCATGAATCTGGAAGTGAGTTTTAAACTTGTCATGGTTGGAGGTATATGTTCGTCGATACTAACCATGGTTTATAGATCTTGAACGATCAACACAGATGTTTGGACAGCTTGCAGATGCAAATAACCCACTGAGTCAAGTTCTTTATGGTCTTGCACTACGGTAAGGGCATCTTTAATTGGCATTTAAATGCATATGCTGATTCTTATTAGACATGGATGGGGCTGTCCCCAAGATCCACCGCGTGCAGTAAAATATCTCTCCGCGGCTGCATCCAACTCAGCCGCAGTAGAAGCAGAGGCCCTGCGTGCTGGTGTGAAAAAGGGCGGATCCGCAAAAGGCGAGCTCGTACTAGCTATGTTCGAGCTTGCCAATTGCTTCCGCAATGGGTGGGGTCTGGAAAAGGACCCTGCAGCTGCTAGGCAGTACTATGAGACTGCAGCGAATTTGGGTGACGCCGATGCTATGAATGAAGTAGCCTGGTGTTACTTAGAAGGATTTGGCGGGAAGAAGGACAAGGTATGTTGTTGACCAATGTATAGTTCTATTATGCATGCTGATATGTTGGTTCATAGTTCAAAGCAGCCAAGTATCTTAGGCTTGCCGAGGAGATTGCCGGCCCTACTGTTGGCAATTCTTGGTATGTTTGATGACCATGATAGGAGTTCCTGACTAATGCATTCATAGGATTTGGAAGGACAAATATAGTCCTAAATGACGGATTTGGGTGTCCTAATTTTGTTCTGTTATGAGCATCAGCGCCTCCGGTTTACGAAAAAGCTTTTCTGTGATTTATCTCCATACATATATTGTGCTTATACTACGTGCTATACCAAATATAAGGTGTGGATGACTTTCTAATTATATCTGCAGATCGATTTCAATGTCTATAACGCAACGATCCAGATCTTCTATGATATATAGACCTCTCTCATACGTCTTCTCTATGTTCAATCCTCCCTACCTGTTTCTCCTCCACAACTTTAACATCAGATACAACCACACGCGCATTTTCCCCATCAAAAATAACTGCAATCTCCTCAAGTGACCTTCCCCTTGTCTCAGGATAAGTCCTCCAGACAACAACCAGAATAAAGAGTAAAACACCCAAAAACACAAAATAATACTTCCAAGAAATACTCTCAAAAGCAATTGGGTTGATAAGCTGATTAAAAGCCAACGCCAAATAATTCGATCCCATCGAGAGAGCAACACCCTTGGCACGCATTGAGAACGTCCAGATCTCAGCTGGATAGGCCAAGAGCAGTGGCGTGAAGGCTATATCGTAGCCGGCGTAGTAGATGAAGAGGAATGGGATGACGGCTGTTCCAACAGCACTAGTTTTGGTTGTGGTGAAGCTGCCCGAGAGTGCGGTGATGAAGATGTAGCTGACAAGCATTATCACCGTTGACGTGATGAAAAGTGCGCGTCGGCCTGCGCGATCAACTAGGCATGCACCGATTATACTCATTATCAAGTTCCAGAGTTGGAGGAACCCGTTTATGAGAGTTTGGTCTGTTGTCGAGGTTATACCAATTGTGTTGAGGATGAGGGTCAGGTAATATGAGACCACTCCACTGCAAGAAGAGCACGTAGTCAGTAACAAAGAACCCACACACACAATCACCCAAGTCAATACTAACCCGCCATTCCACTGCGCAAAGATCCCAAGCGAAACACTCAAAAAGAACCTATACCGATTCCCAGGCGTGGTAACACAATCAATCCAGCGCGACTCAGCCTGAGCTTGCTCTTCCAAAAGCAAACCCTGGCTAATCTCCTCAACCTCAAAAGCAACCAACTCCGAAGCCTCATCCCCGCCAGCATGAAATCTCACCAGAACATCCCTAGCCTCATCAACCCGACCCTGCTTAATTAACCAACGCGGCGACTCAGCCACAAACGACGTCCCCGGCAATGCCAACAACGGCAGCGCAATCTGCATCAAAACCGGCAAACGCCACGCCCAATTCCCCGCCACATTCCTCGTCCCGAACGAGATCCACGCAGATAATGAAGAACCCATGTAATACTGACACATATAGATAGCGGTGACCAGCGAACGATGCGTCGGATATGCAATCTCCGTAACGAGAATGACACCACTCTGGAACCAAGCACCGGCAATACCAACCAGGAGTCTGGAATAGATGAACATATTGGGATTCATCGCGCCGGCTTGGATGCCCACACCTAGCGCGAGGAAGATGTATCCTGCTAGGATTGTTGGCTTGCGGCCGAAGCGGTTGGCGGACCAGGCTTGAACTGGGAGGAAGAGGATGCTGCCGATGTTTTGCAAGGCGTTTATGAAACCTAGCCAGATTCCTGTTGGGTGGGACATGAAGCTTTGCCATTGGGGAAGGGATTGGAGGCTATTCATTAGTGAGATGTCGTAGCCTAGGGTTCCTGAGAATAGGATTAGGCTGGCTATGTAGGTGTTTAGCGATAGTAGGTGGGTTGTTTTCCACCATGGTTTTGAGTCTGGGGGGAGGACCTGGTGTTGTTAGTTTGTTGGTGAGAGCATTGGGAGGTGATTCATACTGAGGCTAGGCTATTGCTAGGCGCTGTGTTGGGTGGTTTTGCCTTCATGATGGCTGTCTCTGCAATCAAGGGTTACTTGATACCGGGAGCACTTCTGCACTTGGGATTGGAGCTATTGGACTCTCTTTATACAGCCAGCTGACGCATTTCACCAATCCATTCCGTCCCCTTCGCAGTGAGGCATTCCACAGCGAGAGGTGGTCAGGGGAAGATCTCTTGCGGGGATTTGAGTTTGTGGAGATGTGGGGAGGTTTCGGCTGGGGATGTCCCGTAGTTAGTCATCTTACAGTCCCATATTGACTGTATAATAAAAGGCTTGATTTGTGAGACGGGAGGTAAATGTACATGCATTCTTGAATGCCAGGGGTTGCCGAGGATTAGCCGTGCAGCCACCACGTGGGAGGCGCCACATGTTTCACCTCAAGTATCTAACGTTACGGGCAATAAATACAAACTAAAATCGCTGATTCTCCCAATTTCAGTTCTTTTCAACTCCAGATATTGTGCGCCTTTTTGTTGTCACTAGATGCTCACCATTCTCAGCATACCTAGTCATCCCACATAGTACCTTTAAAGGAAGTGATCAATTTGTGAGCTCAACCCTAGCAAGCCCCTTCCCTCTGCGCCATACCTCCGACTCGAGGTATCCTCGGAAGAACATTCCAAACTACCAATATAGCACCCGACAGCGCCAAAATGAAAGGCATCAAAACCTCAACGCCCCTGGCCTGCGCAAGAACACCAACGATAAAAGGGAGAACGGCGGCTCCTCCACCTCCAAACGCAGCACAGAATCCAATTGCACTGACATGGAGATGCTTTGGCAAGAGTTTTGTAGTAACAACTATAACTGCTGGGAACAACGGCCCTAAGAAGAATCCTTGCAGGGATACTGCGATTGCACCAGCGAAGAAGTTCGGAACCAGGTATAGAATGAGGCAAAATGCGATCTCAAGCGAGATATAAACCTGTTCACGAATGAGATAGAGCCCATGGGAGAGGTAATCACCACAAGAAGAATAGGGTCACTCACAGTGATGGCGATCTTCTCACCAATCAACGGAGTCACAAATCCAAGGATAATACGCCCAATGATAATCCCAAGCCAGAATCCGGTGGATGTCATGCTACTTGAAAACGGCGCAGCATGTCGTACTTCTTTCATGAACGTCACAACCCATCCTCCCAAGGCGACTTCGATACCGACGTATCCAAGAAGGAAGATAGAGCAGATCCAACTAACTCGCGCAGCGGGCATCTTAAACAGAATTTTTCGTAGTCCTCCTTTCTCGACGTCATCCTCTGGATGCTGCTTTTTGGAGAGTCGGAATGAAGCACCTGTTGAATCCCAGAAACATGCAACACAAACCCCAAGTTCTATCGCAGCACCGCCAATCTAGATAGATAAGTAAGTATACACCATCAACAAATGCTCAATCCAGTTAGTGAATGAAAGGCGGACATACCATGATATAATAAAAATAAAACCACGGCAATCCAGCATCAGCAACAAGCAACGAAGCAACAAGCGGACTGATAACAGCCCCAATACCATAAGAGCCATGCAGCAATCCGAGCAACTGATTCGCATTATCCAGGTTCCCAATCCAGGCATTCCATGCCGAATCAGCCATTCCATTTCCAAGACCAGCGAATATGAATGATACGACGAGGACAGGGTATGGTGGATGAACGCAGTTCAGGACGTAGGCTATTAGGTGGCATGCTGATGAGAGGAACGCCACTCCTCTTTGGCCGAGAGTGCAATGGGCTCTATCATTTATTATTGCTGCTGTTGCGTAGCCGACGAGGGGGGATAGGAAGACTAGTGAGACGATTATGTACGAGAGGCTGTAGTAGTCTTCGAGCTGGAGGTCGGTTAGAAGGGGGATGAAGGTGCTATAGGGCTGGAGTGCGTACATATGGGAGAAGAGGCTATGTTATGCCGTTTGGTTAGTAAATGAGCTATCTCTAGCCTTTAAATGGGAACTTACTCCGTATGCGGAATCATTGGCTCCCATTACTACGAAACTCCAGAATGTTGCTAGCGTCTTGATTATGTTTGTCCGTGGGTGATTCCATTTTTCATTCCTGGAGGCCTCGTAAGTCCCAGATGGTTCCACGGGACATTTTCTGGACGAAGATTGTTGATTGTGATCTCGCTGGGCGATTTGACCATGGCTGATCTTGTCAGAAAAGGCTTGTGCTCCATTCGACATGGCTTTTGATATGAAATGAGTTGAGGGAAAGAAAGACAGAAAATTAGTTTTTGTCAATTGGTCTTTGAATGAAAACCTTGAGACTAACGATCAATTCTGTAACATCATTGAGCCCCTCCGATATACAGCAAAGTTGAAGTTGTTTCCTGTTTCGGTAAATTGTGGGCCCTTCCCGAAAGGGAATTTCAGCCAGCAACCCACATCCCACGCCATCTTTCGTCATTACCGCCTTTATTTGATGTCAATAATCATATCCCATTGGTATAGGGAGCTCGCACAAGCCCTGGTGAATCGGATACATGAAATCCCACTTCGAAGATGGAAATATGGAACAAAAAACGTTAGGATTCATAGTTCTTGATTGAAAATTAACTGAAAAAAGTAAACACAGATTTGATTCTCGGTTTGGGTAGGCATTTGATAACCTTTAATCCCCATATGAGCTGTCGTCGGTCACAGAGTGTGGCATCCAATTCTGAACACTTTTGCTTGGATGGATGCATAAATGGAGATGAAATGTCAGACGCAGTTTTGATCTGTCAATTTGTGAGAAGATCAGAGGCTGAAGACGAAGATTGCCGTGTGAGATGGTATCGCGATATGGTGTGGAACAATACGAGGAAAATATGTATATAGGTACCGCAGAGAGACGAAGATGATTCGAAACAAATCTACGTTCTCCGTAGAGACAATCTCCACAATGTGGTCTTCGTCGTTATCAAGCGGCCTATTCTTTCCTCTCATCCTACTATTTACATTTGCCACTGCAGACGACAAATACACAACCGCCTCGATACAACAGCCACGAATGCCGGCCCTCTAACAACAGTCTTCACACAGGCTGCGTCGTGCGCTCCCCCAGGCACAGTTGCCAACTACGGGTACCCATATCTACTACCAGGTTGTGAAGGTCTTTACAGAGGCGAGCGTTGCCCACAGGATGGAAATACAATGCATACTTCAGTCCAGGACGCTGTCCAGCCTCCTACAAGACCTGTACACTGCCTATAGGCGCGCAACAGGCGGAGACGACTGCATATTGCTGTCCAGAGTAAGAGGCTTCCCTGTTCTTCCCCAAATTTCGCATACCAATTGGGAAGAACCAGCACTAACAGCACATCACAGCGGCTTTGAATGCAAAGGCCAAAATTACTGCGTAAAATCATTCAATGCAATCTCCACGATGACATACGTGGATGCAACACTTTCCACACCGCGCAACGTTTACGGTTCACGGCATCGCCCATCCAGACTCGGTTCAAGACTGCTCAGTCGACAGCCTGTGCCGACTGACTCGCGGAGTCTTCCGCGCCGGTTCCTGTATACGCGTGAGAAGATCGGTATTGGGATTGGGGTTCCCGTTGCTGTTGCGCTTTTGATGATTGGAGGCCGATAGGGGCGAGGAGGGCGAGAACGGAGGCTGAACCGCTTATCTCTGGGTCTGGGGGTGAATCTGGGGTTGAGTCTCTGCTAGATGATATACCGCCGCCTTATTCTGGTTCTTCAGCTGCTCGAATGGATGGGAGGTCTATGCTGGAGAAGTTCACAAGAGGTGGTAAGCGGCCTTTATGATTTGGTTGGATGTTTGTAATGGGCTGCTTTGGAAGGCGAGGCTATTTGCATATACAAGACACTTCGCGTATACAAGACTGTTGACATGGGTTCCGTCACCTGCTTTCTCAAGATGACAAGCCATGGCAGGGGTCCAAATGTAAGAAGTTACTAAGAACCAAAGAAGAAAAAGACCTCTGAGTCTTTTTTTAAAAGCACAAAAAGTTGATACTCCCTTCGGCCCTTGGTTATCCCCCACTCAAGGGCCGTTGGCTTTCCAAAGCCGTTGGTGCCCGTCCACCTCTCCCCTCCGGCCGAAGGGGAGAGAGGACGGCTAGACACCAACTGGTCCAGCGCGGATATCCAGGGTTGAGGGGGGTGCTCTCACCTGGGACCGACAGCTAGGCCATAGGGACATTCGGTGAGATTCTAACCCCAATTTAGGTTGATACCATCCCCTTTGTCCCAAAGAGGAAATATGTGCAAGTCAGGGATCGAATCGTCCCTCTCTCTTATTATTTAAATAAATCTGCCAAAACACTCACTATAATTATTTTACCCCATACCTCAATCATCGTACACTCTCACCAACACACGATTTTATATGCAGTCTCGCTCAAGCCCACTTTCCAAGCAGAGCCATGATACCAGCACCAAGCAACAAGGCCAGCACCATAAATGTCAGACGCTTGTCATCCTGAGTGCGGTGAGGATCAAACAAGAAATCCCTCGCCAGCAACTCAACAAGACCAGTGTACAACAAGATACCAGCCGAGATGGCATCCAACACACCAGAGACAACATTCGCAGTAAACGAACCAGGGTTATAAGTCGTGCGCAGTCCCAGACCAATAGCAATAGCAATAGGCGTCGTCAGTCCATAAGCAGTACACAAAAACCAAGGCAACCAGCTCCCCTTCTTGAACGGAATACTGGACATCCGAGCCCCAATACCGAGGCCTTCAAATGACTGATGGAACACAAGCACAGGATAGAGAGTTGCGAACTCATCACCAGCAACACCGAGGTTCAACCCGATGATCACAGAGTGGAAGATGACTCCGAATTCAAGAATCAGGAACGCGGCAATCTGCTGCTTAAACGACCGCTCGATCAGCAGTTCCTGAGACTGCGACTCAATCTCCTTCACCTGCTTATCATGCGAATGCGAGCGCGAAATTGATCGTCGGACCCCATGCTGCACCTCGACTCCACTAGGAGAAGCCATCATCGGCTCTGGGTCCTCACGACAGATACCATACCTCACTTCGACCCAGCGCTCAGCGCCAAAGTCCAATAAGAAGACGACCATCAAGGATGTAAGGACAATAGCAGGACACCAGGAGTAATCAGCCCAGTGACCCGTCAACCCGACGCAGGAGTTTCCACCGATTTCAGCATAGGCCGGGTCGAGGAGGTGGATGAAAGCCGTGGCAATGATGACACCTGCACCGAAGTATTTCGCAAAAAGGTAAACGTAAAGTGGGATGCGGAGGCTTGGTGCGCGCTTTGCCAGCACGGGGAAGAAGGTTGCTGCTGAGGAGACGACTAGAATGACGAAGATAGCTGAGACGCGCGCGCCCATGCGGCCATCATATTCGTTTCCCTCGGCATTGAGATAGCAAACGATCTCGGCTGGGTCGGCCATGTCTAGGTCGACGTTGTGCGGGTCGAAAGCCATTCTTAGGGAGTGGGTGGTTTGAACCACTTGTTTGGAGGGAGAAGAAAGAGCGACTTTGATGGGATGAAGAGCTCCGCGGGAGCTTGGGGGAGAGGGCCTCAGAGGGGGAAAGCGCGATAATCGTGCTTCGGATCAGGGAGGAAATGGTCGGGTGTTTTATATCGGGTTCTTGACAGTCGGCTTTCTCCGTTGAGGACCTTGGAGAATGGTGTCTTCGCCTGCGCGTTTTGGCCCCCATTAAATGGTTGGTCCGTATATCATGGTTTGAGATATTATTTTACAATTATCGCTATTATAATAAGAATTAAATTGGAGTTGCGAAAACTTCCCAAAGTTGTTGATTGGTCCCGCAGTCAAAGACTTAGGGCTACGCACACTCGGGAAAAATACCAACCGCACCCTCCATTTTACCAGCATCCAGACAGGTACACCTGGACCCGAGAATCCAAGATTCAGATACTTTCTTGACCAAAGCTTGTAAGCGACCAAGCCTCGAAGTAAGACTTACCAGCGGACCCGCAACTAGTCGCAAGTGATTGGGTCCATAACCACAACCTACCACCAAGGTCCTTCCGTTAAGATTACACGTGGATCACAACCCTGGAAAAGCGCCTGTAGTGGCAGGAAATATTACTGAGAACGGCAGGTGGGCGATAGCCTGAACCTAGATAGATGTTACCTGCCCACAGTTGCGTAGGAATGTGGGTATTTCGTGGTCCAGATCTGATATCCCTAAACGAGATACCCGTCATGCGCGGAAAAGGAGAAAAGACAACGTGCTGCGTCGGCTGATTCCGGCCACTGATTCGTTGGATAATAATAATGGGTATTTGTTCATCGTAGTGGAAATTAAATGTTAGATATTGGATAGTGGTGTGTCGCCAAGATTATCATGTCTGGTTCGTTTCTTCATCACATTCGTGGGCGTCGCCGCCATGAGTGGGTTTAACAAAGGGAATTAGGAAAGGTGAGAGAGAGAACAGAACCTTGGGAGCTGGATCCCAAGGTCCATGTCTCTCTGCCCAAAGCCAAAGCCGAGAAAAGAAGAAAGAGAAAAGGTAAAGCATCCAGCCCAAAATGACAAGTCCTGCCCATACATGTAGCCCTTGTCTCCCCTAATGGACACGCTGCAGCATAACAGTAACAGTCCCAAAAGCAAATCAGAGCAAAAAGAAGAAGAATATAATGTAAACAAATCGATAAATCATCGCAATGCAAATCGCCAGATGCAAGGACTCATATCATATCTCGTTTCGTTTCTCGTAGCCCATGCCGCAGTTTCCCGCGTGGTCTTCCAAGGTTGTCTGTACATCACACATCAAACATCACACATTCGCGTTCACACATGATTCAGGTTCCCACCCTGTCGTTCATCGTTCGTATAATATAAGTCCCCCGCCTTCCCTCCATTGAAAGCAAAAACACACGCTCCGAAATCAATCGCTAAATCATCACGCTGTGCCGGTAATCCTGAGCCCAACCCACCGAAAAAATCACATTGAAGGTGTCAAAAACATACAAAAATAAATAAAGGAACAAAAATGTTGCGTGATCTATCGTTGCACGCTAGAATTTCAAGAGCCATTGCTAGCTCGTATTTTTGAGAAGAAAAAGTAAAAGGGGGGGATGACAGCCACGTCTGACACCCAAGAAGAAAAAAGAGTAGAAGAAGGACGTAAAAGAAGAGGAAAAGAAATAGAGACTGTCGTATCGAAGTAATTGCCGAAACAGATCAGCTAAGCATGGAAGATACCCTCCTCCTTGACAGGAGTAGCATAGTCCTGCACCATACGTCTGAAATCGCGAATAACCTTATCAGGCACACGATCCCACATAAGCGACCTGGAATAAACATCCGAAGGCACGGCATGCAAGCGACTCTGCTGAGCAGCCGAATTACGCATGGCAGCAAGGGCCTGCTGCAAACTTGACGGCTGTTGCGGTTTAAAGCCAGCGCCATCGTCTTCGAACGTCGTCAGGGAGTTATACTGGTCGGCGTTTAGAGCGAAGACTTGTTCGCGCTCTTGCTGCTCTGTCGGCATGACTAATGTGTCGTGTAGCTGGTCCAAGGCCGAAGGTCCGACCTGTTGATGTTGGGCCCCCATCTGGCCCATTTCCATGCCACTAATTGTTGCGGGGTTTGGGCCTGAGGCTGTCGCGTGTGCGGCATGTGTCAGGTCCTGACCGGGCGACGAGGCCAGCACGGCTTTTAGCACGTTTGCAGACTCGGCGCGGTACTCTTCTGAGAGTTGGGGGAGCGAGCGGCCCGGGATAGAGGTGCTGTTTGAGGCGATGAATGCGCCGAACAGGAGACACATGTAGAATGCGTTCCAGCTGATTGGCAGGTCGCCGGTGGATTTCTCCGGGGCTTTGGGCTGCATCTGCTGGCTTACGTTTACTGCGTGGGTGCGGGCCTGGAGGTGGTCTTGTTGCATGGGTACTCCGGTTGTCATGGCGAAGTCATCCCAGTGGGTGTCCATGGTGAGATTCTCGAAGCCGGTGAAGTCGCCAGGGGTGGCTTCTGGTACTGGCTTGACGTTGACGCCTCGCTCGAGTTTGTCCACTGTTTCCATGAGGATGTTGTTTTTCTTGCGCAGCTCGGCTGTTTCCAGCGTGTGTACGCGGATGACTTCATCTTTTTCCATGTGCAGGCCTTCAATGTATTGGTTCATCTGCTGGTGGGTGACGATCCACTCGCTCTTTTCACGGAGGAGCTCGGCCTCGCGCATTTTCATGCTTTGCAGTGCCTCTTCTAGGTCGCCGATTGTTGCCGTGAAGTGTTTCTTCTCTTCTTCCAGCTTCTCGGTGTGCAATTTCTTGCGCTGACGAGAGTCCAGTCTATCGCATATTAGCAGTTGTTTCCATTACATGTATGGGTGTCACTTACGCAGCCTGCCGATTCCGCAGCAGTCGCTTTTGTTGCTTGAGCTCCTTTATCTCGTCCTCGTTGTTGGACTGACTGATCAAGTAGTCGATATTACTCAACGTTCGCTCAGCCGGGATCTCAAAGCGGGCGTTCTTCTTCCGGATGCCATCCCGGCGCACAGTCAACGGGGAATCGTGCCGGTATGTAGGACTTTTGGTGGAATGAGACGGCGCATCAGCCAGATCCATTGGCGCCGGCATCCAGCCCTGACTTGACTGCGGCGACATGGCCACACTTCCCGGCGCGAACGACATACTCCCCCGGTACGACATCGGGTTCATAGGGATCGCACTAACAGGACCAACAGCACCACCGGCAAATGGAGCAGACGAACTCTGCTCTGCTTCAGCGGGATACTGATCGTAACCTGCGGTCGGGGTACACGAGCCGGAATCGGGGCGCGGCATGGACCATGACGACTGGTATGACGCTGAGTGGGGGCCGTCGACGGGCATGAATGAGGCGCCCGTTGAGTTTAGCATGGAGTGACCGAGATGCGAATTTGATCGGGACTGGTTGGAGGTATGCGAGTAGTTGGACCAGACGGAATCCCGATGTGAGTAGGCATCTGGGGCGTCGTACGAGGCGCGGCGATCGGAGAGATCTTCGGATGAAGGTTCCAAGATCTTGTCGTCCAATACACTCATCTCGTCTTCTTCCGTGACCTCTAGTGTTGGTGACTGTTGATAGAAGTCAGATTGGAAATATCGTGCCATCATGAGAGGCGGTGTGGTGTGGTTGAGAGGGGTGGGGCGGGGCAGGATTTATAGAAAAGATGAAAGATGAAGTGCGAAGTGCGAAGTGCGAAGTGAAAGATTAAGGCGGCAAGATAAACAAGATGGACAAGATGGGCAATATGGAAGAGGGGAAGATGTCTAGTTCCCGGGGGGGAAGACGCAGGCTATGTAGCAGACGCACGCCCTCGTGCGGTTGACATACAGGTACCGAATACCGAAGTGCCTGCTTGAGATTAGCGTGTCGATCAAGTACCCGGTACTCAGCGGTCTGCGCGGGAGTAGAAGTGTGGCCCCCGGGGCTCCATCTCCGTTATTGGCTGCATCATTCTGCTTGGGCAGACCTGCATTTGATGTTTGATCTCTGTTTTTGCTCTTCAGCCGCGAGTATTACTAGAGATGTACGACTCACCCAGTAACCTACAGCCATTCACTCGATACATGACTATTGAATCTATGTGCCTTCATTCTCTAGTGGGGGATTTCCTTATCGCCTATCTACTGTCGTGGGGGTGGTCTGTGCCAGACGTTATGGTATACTTCAAAGTACCTCAGGTGGTCAGATGCTCTTAATTAGTAGATGTTCTCACTACCAATCATTCCAAATCGTGATACCTTGTACGTCTTGTATTTCTTGTACATACTTCCGTTTTGTTTTCCCTTGGGATCTCCATCTCGTTGAATCTCTGGTACGGGTTCGGCCCGCTGATCCACTGTTGGGCCGACCACGGTTTTCAAAGACAGTGAGGGAGTAAGATCATTTTCCCTCATGACCTCAGCTCTGATCTTAGGCAAGGATCAAGGAAGTAATCTTGGGGAATCCAGATCTTGTCGGATGCATCTCTGCACCCCCCATATGGCCGAAGCAGCCGCCCTTCCAACACCTACCGGTTTGCAGCCCACACGTAAATAGGTGCGGAGTGCAGAGAGACGCCAATAATTGACGGATGGATTCCCGTTTCTTGCTCGTTACTGGGGATAGACAGGGTGACAGGCAGGGTAGGCACGGTGACAGAGAAGGCGGCAGCACGAACACCCCCAATCCAGACTCGACCACTGGAAGATACAGTATCATATCAGGCATAGAACTAATCAAAGCCAACAATCAAATAATACCGTTTTGCTTTTTCTTTCCCTTGCGCTTTTCCCTATCCTTTGTCCGTTTCTTGTCAATACCTGCCCTCAGCTTTGCCGCCCAAACCGCCGTACCTTGTTCCTGTAAACAATTTCCCCGGAGCACAAACCCCCTCGGCGGTAGCCCCTTGAGTCTGTTCGCCAGCTATACATAGTGCCAAAACAGCCCGTGACAATGATAGGCCTGTCAGCTGGGCGGGTAGGAAACCTAGCCTGGATAAGATCTGGCGGTGAAAACGCCGACTCTGTCCAATGGAGATCCAACCTGTCCTTCGGTCTCTCCGTACTGTCTTCCGTCACGGTGCAAGGTACCCGATGCTGTGTATTCAAGTCAATAACGTTTTTATTTTCGTTCTAGACTGTGTCTATCGGGATGTTCCCAGTACATGAGTAGCTACGAGGTACGAGTTACAGTTACCGGCTACCAGTTATGAGTAAACCTCTGGCCCCAAGACTGGACTACCCGGAAGCAAGACAAGACAACATCCCATCTCCCAACAATACGGTGAAGCATGAAACCACCCGTTTAACCCATGACTCACAATGAAACCATGATCGACCTTCTCTCGCAGCGCTAGAAAAGACCATGGCAGGCCCACCGGCTCCACATCAAATTCCAATTCCAATTCCAATACATGTACATACTGTACTCCGTACTCCGTACTGCCTATGTACATGTACATGTACATGTAGGTATTATGTAGGAAGCCCACATCCTGGAACAGGCTCTTCCATACAGAGGGCATACAACCGTGCGTGCCCAAGCACTCTAAAACACACCTCCTCAGCCAAGCCTGAGCCAAAACTCAACTCAAAGCCTCACTTTGGTTCCGGTACCTGCCTGATCGGCTGTGCGCTGGGTACATTGGGCATATCGTGGGCTTGGTTGGTGGGTTGGATTGGACGGGTGCTGCGCTAGGTGATCATTCGGTAATTATTGGTTTCCACTTGCTGTTTTTCTGGGCTCGTTTCGGGGATGCCTTGGTTGAGGTCTTCTTTTTGGGATGGGTGTTTGGGATATTTGGAGACATTTGGTTCACCGTTTTATTGACTCATTTTGCAGGAGACCTTAGGCATTTTGGGGGATTTGGGGGGTTTCTTGATGTTCCTCTTTGGGGAAGTGGAAGAGGAGGGATTTGTTTAGACTGGTCCAAATATGGGCTTCATCATAGTACAACTAAGAGAGTTGAGTTGATTTTCTCGGAATGAGTCACTGTCTGCTTGGTTGTCTCTTTCTATATCTTTACTATTCCCGTGCCTTTGCAGTCTCTTTCCAGATGTCTTTGGCCCTTGAAGCACCAAACCAATCACGCTTCTAGTCCCAAGCCATAGATACAAACTTCGACAGAGGATCATTGATCGTAAAACAGTATTGCTAGGCAGAAATACTGTAGTACCATTGAGGCAAGATCTATACAAACCTCCGTAGACGATTCAACACTTTGATGCTAACCAACTGGCCATGATGCAGACACACCACGCAGTGATTTAAGCTGTGCTACACTCCATACATCCGCTGGTATCTGCTTGACTCGATACGTCCAAAGAAGGGGTTTATCACACCTTGGACCCGTAGATGAATGACACCAAAGATGTGATCTACTCTAGGGCCACGTTCAAAATGTGGCACAGGACTATTAATCCTTAAAACTTTATTATAGGTCTAGCTCTATTTCCTACTCGGTTTGTTCTATTTGCTATCTTGCATAGGCTGCCAGATACTTCCTATCTATCTATGATTATCGTACGATTTGTCAACTTGAACAAACGGTCTAGCATTTACAAAGTAAACCATAATATATTCGAATGTACTATATAATCAAAGTCGCCAGGTCCAGATTCTAACTTATCGAATACATACAATCATGTGTTCTCTCCTACCCTACTTCTGAGCTGTATCTAACAACCCACCGCCGAAACAACCACCCGAGGGCCATCCTTGTAGGCCTCGGGGTGATATCCGTCTGTTTCCAAGACAGGAGTTCGCTGCGACACTAGATGATTTAGCTTTGAGTATCACGCAGAGATACTTCACCGCCTCAAATCACACAGTGTGTCAGCAGGTCAGGGTCCGAGGTCCCTGCGGTTGAATCACCGTCACATGTCTTGGCGGGAAGTATAGGCAATCACATACAGTAGGCAACTAGGGAGTTCTCTACAATAAGTTTTTGGATTAGGGAAGGGATTCAATTAAGACAGTTCATTCTTTGTTTTTCTCATATTTCCATGTTTTTCACAAGTTCCATGTTCCATATTCCATGTCCATATGGCATATGCTCGTGTTCTTGCTTGAATGCTATGAACATATCCGGGGTATCACCAGTTCGAATTAAGCAGAATCAGAAGTGCAAGCAATCCAAACTACAAAGAGATCTAGAAGCGGATGAAATCCTGCTGTCCGGCCATCTCACCACTATCCACACCCTCAATGACAGTATCATCGAAAGCATCCGAGTCGACATCATCCGAGTCAATTGCATCGTACTCCTCTTCCTCGCTAGACGGATCAGAGTCATCCTCACCCAAATTAGCCTTACTAGCAGCTGCAGCTGCAGCCTTGCGGATCTGGCCGGCACGGTCGACGTGTGGCAGCTGGCAGCGCTTCTTGTTGCAGGCGCCGTTGTTGGCATAGTCAGGGCACTCGTGGACGTGCTTCTCTTCGCATGCGCTGCCCTTGTCGCAGAAGCCTAGTGTTGCGAATGCGCGGCAGACCGGCGCACCAGGTGTCACCCGGATGTGTGCGTAGCGACAGTCGGGGTTGGCGCATCGGCCTCTAAGGAAATGCATACAGGTAGGGGAACGGTGAGGCGAAGGCTCATGGGATAGATCACAGCTGGTACCTGCGCCGCATTGCCCTGTTTGTAAGAAGTCCTTGCAAATGGCAACCTTCTCTGGATCGTGGGTGAAGAGGCAATCTGGGCCTTTGTAGCATGTACCTGGAGGAAAGAAGTGTTAGTTTTTAAATTGCAAGGAAGGTAAATCGGAGCAAGGTGGTCCGTCGGAAAATAAAATACCGGTCGTGGAGAATCTTTTGCAAAGCTCGTCGCGTTTCTTGTGGGTTGTTCTAGTTCAAGGTCAGTATATGAAAAGGCGTTGCTGTAGAAAAACCCACTTTTTGGAAGCCACAGCGCCGACGCGGTGGAGGTTGCCATTCTTGCTACGGACGAAACCCACGCCAGCAACTGTGACGCGCTTGGGTGTGGTATTGGCAGTGTTGGGATCATCTATGAGGGGTAAGCCAGTTCTGTGCGGAGGAAACCCATGGGGACACGCACTCGAGATGCGAATTAACTTGCTTCCGCCCCGAGCGATTTTGAACGGAACCTCGTTGACGAGAATCTGATGGCCAGCTGAAGGGTTGGCTGGGGTGGACACTAGAGCAGCGCCGGAGCCCTGCGCGTATCGAAGAACCTTGGCTTGTTCCCGTTCTGTCCGTTTCTGTTCCTTCAGTCTGCGTGTTTCCTCGATAGCCTTTGACCTAGCCTGAGTTTCCTTGTCGTAGATAGCAGAGTTGATCAACTGCATGTGGCGATCGCGCTTTGCAACCCAGCCATTACCAATCGAAGTCGGTGCCGAACGCCCTTCACTGGTGTTGTCACTCATGGATCCAGGAGAAGAGGTGCTTCCTTGGTTTGGTCCAGCCGCATTGTTCAAAACAAGTGTGCGGTGTCGGTGAGGCGCCGTTGCCCCTCGACCTCGGCCTCGACCTCGGCCGCGGGGGTATGGAGCCCATCCGGAGTGGGTAGGAGCATGGCGAGACACGTATTGAGACTGGTGGTTAGTTGACTGGGTGTCTTGGCTCTTGTGGCGATTGATTTGACCTGCTGAGGGTAAGGTTATGTCGAAGC